GGCAAGTTGGAGGGAAAAAGGACAAAACCGAATGAGGGAATGGTGGAAAGTTTGATAATGTATCATGGCATAAAAGATTGTACCAGAACTGACTGAACGTACACGAGAAGAGTATCAGCCACATGATATGACTATAAGAAGAAAACACGAGACAAAAGGCTGTGGACAGACATTACTACCAACGCAACAGACTATGAGGAAACATGAGACAGAAGGTTGTGGAGAGATAGAACAACCAACGCCACAAGAAGTAAACTTGAGACAGAAGGTTGTGGATAGACAGAACAACCAACGCCATAACAAAAAAAAAAAAACTTGAGACAGGAGGTTGTGGATAGACAGAACAACCAACGCCATAACAAAAAAAAAAAACTTGAGACAGAAGGTTGTGGATAGACATGACAACCAACGCCATAAGAAGAAAACATGAGACAGAAGGTTGTGGATAGACATGACAACCAACGCCAGACAGCATGGACTACAAGAAGAAAACATTGTGTCGGGGATACACATGATTAACATCATGTACTTTGTACCGATGAACAATGTGGATTTGTAGAAGGAAAAGGTACAAACAATGCCATATACATCCTAAGGACATTGTCAGAAAGAGCTATAGAAGTAAAGACAGATTTGTACATATGCTTCATAGACTATACAATCATCATTTTTCGGCCATGTTATGAGAAGAGGGAAAATATAACATGTGACCACTGGAAAGATATGTGGAAGGAGAGATAGAGGTAGACAACGAGAGAAGATGCTTGACAGTCTTGTTGCATGGCATGGAGGTGTGTCGGCACACGAACTGATACATGCTGCAGGAGATCGCAGATTGTGGAGAGGCATGATCGCCCACGCCAGTCGGTAAGACACCTGATGATGATGATGACTTTGTACCGATGCCACGAATTTGGAGAAAATACTTACTTGTGTATGAATCACTTCTGTGAGTAGATAGGACGCAACAATGTCCAGTCACTAGGAGAATTCCCGTTTTCCCCCTTACATGTTTATTCTTCTTGGCGTAGGTCCCGAGTCATGGTGTCCGCCTCGAGTGCTGGAGGTTCCGGGTTTAATCCACTGTAAGGGCTAGCTTTTTTTTCACGTGGACTTGGACTTCTATTAATGCACTGGTCTGGGTAGTGAGATCGGACGCCCGCGTGCATTGCTGCACGCGTAAAAAAAAAAAAAAAACCAGTTTGCATTTGGAAATCGAAAAGAGTAGCCTAACGGCGATGCCCGGACAAAATCTGGAGTTAAAAATCTACCCAAAGTATTTCAGGATTCTCGCCGGTGCTACAGAGCCCGTGCACTGTGCTGAACTTATTCGGACTCAGACATGAGTTAGAAGAAGAATGAAGCACTTATGGTTTATTACCCGTGTGCCAGGATGATGATCCGTTGTTCAAAACCTCAAACTTCTTTGTGTTTACCGGCGGTAATCTCCCGAAGTATGGTCTGGTTGTCCGCCCACTTCTGTTCCAAAACCTGAGCATCGTGTGCAAATCCGTTCTACATATCTGACTTATCTGAAGGCAGATGCACCCCGACTTCCAAGGAAGCCCCAAATTAGTCGACTCTTAGGACATGCTTGTGGGTACTCAGTGGGTCTATTCTTGTTTTCCCCCCTAATTAGGACCAAGGAACCGACACGAGGACCTCAAATGTTACATAGTGGTGAACTTGTCACAACTTCTTTGTCGACAGGTGTTATTATCATCAGCAAGAAGTGTCTTGCCGATTGGCGTGGGCGATCATGCCCCGCCACATTTTGCGACTGTGCATCAGCTCCTGTGTTGACACCCCTCCATGACAAAAAGATTCGGTATTCACTCACGACTGGGAGCCGAGGTCATTTCTGAAAGAAGCCCAGTTGCGTTCTGACTCGAACCCGCAACCTTCGCTTAACCAGAGCGGCTCCCTGTTAATATATGCTGTGCACACACACATATAATATTGTATATAGCCAATGAAAAAATCTTTAGTGCAAGACAGACTAGAATATGACACCACAACATCTAGCATGAGAATGGAGGTGGAGGCGGCAACTGCAGCTCTCCGCCGGCTAGAGAACAAGATGCATACACAGGCCGTAATTGTAAAAGAGAAATACAGGGATGCTTCGAGCAGAGTTGGAAAGCTTCACTGGAAAGGTCACGGGTGGTAAACATACTTTGGATCTTTTTTCCAGGCTATGCTGGCGTGGTGTGTAATGAACAGGCAGACAGATTGGCTGGATGTGTACCACTGATACATGACAAGGCAGATGTGGTCAATGTCCTTTGGGGAAAAAGCAACGGAATCAGTAGAGAAATACTTCTTTTGGCCTGGAGAGAATAAGGCACCTGGGCGTAACCAGAGGGTCTGGCCGGCTCACTACACTTAGAGGAAAGGCAAGACGGATATTTAACCAGATTGTGACCGGTACCAGCAGTATTGGAACTCTGCGCTGGCTGCTGTAAATGAGGACAGAGTATGTATGGGAATGCCCCGTGTGCTGTGATGTCAAGTCTTGACTCAGCTCATAATTAATTCAGGGGAAAACCGAGAATTTTTTGGGTCAATTCGTATAATTCAGGGGAAACCGGGAATTTCCCTAGTGCACGTGCATTGTTGCGTCATATCTATTTACAAGACGTGATTCATATATTTTCTTCAAGTCCATGTCGTTAATGTCATGTTTATCCACACCCTTAGTATCGTTGGTTGTCATGTTTATCCATACCCTTCCGTCTCTCGTGTCTTATTAAAAGTGTGAGTTAATCTCTTGTCAAGTTAAAAAGTGAGTTGCGTATCTATTACAGGGCGTTGCAGAACCAACTCAGCATCTCTTGGCTGTTACTGTGATGAGAGCGACGTCCTGCAACGGACCAGTTACATGATGATCACAGCTTGTTCACTGCCCAAAAAAAAAAATCACGGAAATTCCGGTGACTACTTAAATTGAACTAAGTTTTTGGGTTTAAACGACTGACCAACAACATGACACAAGGCTAGTAACCTCAGCACAGCTCCGTGGTACCAGTGAGGATCCTGACAAATTTTGCTTGATCAGCGCCGTTAGGCTACTCTTTGTTTTTTAACAGTCAAGAGGTTTTATCAAGTGCACAACTACACACACACAGGTATCCGATCTAACTACCAAGAGACGAGGACTAGAAGTCCACGTGAAAAGATCCCAGCCTTTAACTAGGCTTGAACCCGAGACCTCCAGCACTCGAGGCTAACAAGACCACACAGTCTCGACATAAGTATGACCACCAATGTTAATAGCATTTCCACCCTGTGTGGGTTCCGGGGCCCTATTATAGGGAGAGAAAAAAAGAATAGACCAACTGCCTACCCAATGAAATGTAAGAGTCCACTAATTGGGAGCTTCTTTCAAGTTGGAGTGCATCTGCCTGAGAGGCACGGAACCAACAGTCTGCACACAAATGTTTCAGAACTGTCAAGTGTGTGAGCAGGTCTGCAGCCCAGAAGTGGACGAACAACCAAAATTTCCACTATATTTTACAGCTGGTGAACACGAAAAAGAATAGCATTTTCATCTTCAACGAGACTTTATCAGACTTTAACGTCACTGCAATTGGTTTTCCCCATACTTGCTCTGTGCCGGTGCAAATCAAATGAACAGCATATTCATACCAACACTGCTGCCAGTACAAGGCCCACCTACGGTAAAATTAACAACTGTGAAATGGGACGACCAAAAAAGGCTGCCGACCTAATTATGCAAAACACAATATAATTCTACCAAATAGACATCTTCTTTGAGACTTAACAGGGTAGCTTAAAAAAAATCATTGACTAGGGGACATACTGCACTAAATTAACTTAGAAAAGGAAGATCAAATGGTTTGGTCATAGAATGTAAACATAAGTTACTTACACCAGGGCTTCACATAGAAAGACCGCGTGAAAGCTTAAGAATATGGACCTCAAAGTAATGACAATATTCACTGCTACTCAACAAACCGCTCAGAAGCAATGGCAAACTACTGAAAGTAATTGCCAAGAAAAACTACAACAGCCAAAAAAATGCTAGGGTTGGTTCTGTAAAGGACAGGCAGCTAACCTTGAACCCATCAAGCAATAGACTGAATCGGTTCTTGCGATGGCAAAGTTTGATAGCAAACAATCAAGAAAAACAAGAATCCAGGGCAGATGGGAAAATCCGTTTCCTGAATTGTTATGCTGACGTGAGGTTTTTACACCAGACACAAGCCAAGAGTTTAGGTTTTTCCATGCAGAAGGAAGTGAAAACTAGCTAGCTTCTTTAGCAATTTGCTGCCCCTAAAAACTCCAGTGTGAGTCAAAAATAGGATACTGTATATCTGTCAAGGGTTGTGTTAATATGCAACTGTAGACAAAATGGCTGCTTTAGTATATGTCAAACCACAGCAATGTTCACTTTTCATTTGTGCTTTTTGTATACTGTGAAGCTATCTAATCTTACTTTTTGCTGCGTTTTATTTTTCCATATCTTTCTATAGAAGTCAGCATTGATCCTGCCTGTAGTAGAATATATAACCTAGAAACTCAAAATGCATACAAGCTCCAATTATAATCATCCCAACCTGGTCAATTGGTGAAAATTATGTTTGCAGGCAAATGATAATGTAACAACTTGTCTAGACGGGTATCAATTGTGTAGTGACATATTAGCCAGGTTCGAGAACACAGACTGGAGTAATAGCCCCCCCCCCCCCCCCAAATACGGCATGACTTTAATTCCCACTCCCATTACTGTTATGTTACTAAAACAGGATTGTTTGTGACAAGACAGATGCATTGTATATGCCAACCAAACACTCTCTCATTCTGAACTAACATGTGTTATTCGTTCTTAATCTATACCATGCTGTCCCTCCCACCCCATTCTCTGCTGTTAAAAATATGCTACAAATATGTATAACCAAACATCAGATATCGGACACAAAAAATTTATTTTGTCTATATATAACAGCAAGGGTCACGGCAATGGCCAAACAGAAAGTCTATTTGGGGGCGGCTGCCGCCTTCTTGCCTCCGCTCTTGATCTGGCTGGCAATTCTGTCCAGATCACGACGGCCCTGGGAGGTCAGCTTTCGGCCTCTGCAAATAAAACAACAAAAATTAATAACATTTGGAAGAACTGATGGCTACACCGCCTTGCCGTGCTTTTAGCCAGCACAAAATATATCTTTGTATCTAAGTATAAATCAGTAACTAAAGGATATGTGTATGCCAACAGTCAATCAAGCTCAGATTTTAAAATCAACCCTAAAACGGTGATCGTGTCAGCCACCTTTTTTCCCTAGTAATTTCCTTGCTACCGATTTTATTATGGGTCAACCTGAGCCAAAATCTCGTCTGTATGAGGGAGCAGGAGTTCCCCTGTGTCAAACCTTAATTTTCCTCTTATGATAAAGTCACGGCTAACTCGCCATACTTTGCTTGTTCTAAAAAATATTCCATGTGTAAGTATATTGAACCCAGGTACATATTTATTCTATTTCACCTGAAAATGGAAACAAAGATAGCAACAACAATAATTTTGTGGATCATTTCAAATCTGGCTTTATTTGTTTGTTATGGAATGTAAATCAAAAGCAGCAATAAATCTAGGCTGCTAAATGAACTGTTTATGGCTTTAGACATTCTAGAGATGTGATCATCATCATCAGACCACATCTCAAAAGACGAATCCCAAACAGACAAACCAGGACTTTCTCAGAAGTTTACAGAAAGTGAAAGTTTTTAAAATCATATGACAAGACCAAAAATGAACAGGGACTGTCAGCGCTGTTTTCATATGGAGTGCTGCCAACTTATCAAAGCGTATGAATCAACTGTACATACCCAGTGTTAGCATCTTGTTCCACCAGCTTGAGGGACTCTAGTGTCTGCAGAACCTTGCGGGCAACACTGCGTGAACCTCGGCAGGTGTGGCTGGGGGTTGTGCCGTTGCGTTTGTTACCTGCAAATAATAAACACACATGTCACAAACAAGTATATACAGGTACATTTAAGAAAATGATTGTAGTAACAAGGGTCAAAGTTCAAGAATGGTAGAGAGAATGAGTTTAAGCATAATATAGTCATAGGGGCAGTAATTTTCAACCCTTCCAATGCCACACCCTCACTAATACAGTTCCTCATGTTGTGGTGAACCTAAACCATACAATTATTTTCATTGCTACTTTAAAAATTAGTAAATGTGTTTTCCGAAGGTGACACCTGAGAAAGGGGTCGCAAGCCACGGGTTAAGACCTGCTGCAGTAGAGAGATTACAAATGCTCACACATGAGTCACAAAAGCAAGTCATCTCTTGTGACAGTCAACTGAGATCACTGCCTGGAACACAAAGCCACTTCTGCACTTTGCACTTGGTTAAATGCCAATGTGTATATATTATAAAATGCCCGAAGGGCTGTAAATTTCCAAACTTTGAAAAAAATATATCGAATGCAACAGACAGCTACAAAAGTAAGTCTGGAATAACGAGATAACTGGGCAGACATTCACTCACCGGAGTAGATTTTAGTCAGGGCTCCAACTCCACATGGGGATCTGATGTATAAATGGCGGGCAACAGAAGCTGTGAAAATAAACAAAGTATTTTATAATTTTCAAAAGTCACATTATTATGTCATCTTTTTAGCTTCAGTAGTAATGCAAGACAAAAGAATATTCTCTCATATGTATCACCGTCTATCCTGTACCTGCTAGTTGTTCCCCCTCAAGTAAACATCTGGCCTAAATGTCACAGAAATATCGCAAGGAATGATCAGTCCTATCAAATATATCTGTCGTAAAGGCTTTTTATCAGTTTGTGTATTATTAATTATTGAGAACACATTTGATAATATTAAACTTAAAGTGTTCTATCTCTAGTATTTAACTTTTCTGACGACATTAACCAGCTCTAGTGATTTGTATACATCATGTTCCATAAGAGTTTGGCATGCAAATCCGTTCTGAATGCAGACTGTTGGCCCCTCACTTTTTTTCAGCTAGATGCACTGTGATATAAATTTGTTAAGGAGCAGGGGGTCTGTCTATCCCTCCAAGATACTATAAAATATGCCTACAGCCATGTAACGTATGTGTCAGTTAAAGTAGTGCTCTCACCTGCTCTAATGTAGAACCAGTCTTCATCGTAAGGGCTCAGCTCATTGAAGCGACCCAGCTTGACAACATCAGCCCACTCTGGCACCTTGACCTTGCCCGTCCTAGATACAGATTTTAAAAAAAAAAGTTAAATATCCTAACAGAAATCACTGTGTCACACCTGATGAGTACAGCACAGTTTCAGTGTACAAACAAGGAAGATAAATGTACTGGAGAGCCTAGCCAAACAAACAAATATCTGATCAGCGAAAGACCCCAGTGATTTGATGTAGCACACAATACTGGTTCCCACTCCAACATGGACAATGGGAGATACATGTCAGTGTGCTCAAACAAGAAAAATTTAGATAGTAGAGTAAAACCATGTAAAATAACCAGCTATTCCCTTATTTTATCAACTACATGGTGTGTTTGTAATTACAATTTGGAAATATTGCAGTTTATTTTAATCACCCATCTTTGTGAGTTAATGCAAGGAATACTGCTATAGTGACCCATTGTAGGTAATTTCGTCACACTACAATCTATGTGAATACATTCCACCTAGAGCATGAATATAAACAGCAATCATGTAACGCCAATGTAGTGATTGTGTGGATGACTAAAATGGTACATTTGTAACCCTAACATGCTAGACACCCTTAACATTGTGTGAACAGTCTGGGAAGCATGCACGCATCAGGCACGGGTTCCCTCTTTGGTCCAGACAAAGATACCACCCACAGGTGATACTCATCTATTAGGTGTGAGTAAATGTCTAGAGCTAAATCTCAGCAGTTATTTCACTGACAGGTTTTAGCTGAGGGTTGTCAGTAGTATGTTTGGCTATAGGACTTTACTCAGGTTTTAACGTTTTCATCCAGGCACTAAGGGTTGGCTAATCAAACACTGCATCTCTGGGTGCCACAGTGATTCCCTGCCAGCTTGTTTACACCCATGCGAGCTATTTTTCGTTGCACATGGCGGGGACAAATGTATCAGCGTCAAGCCTGCTTGAGCCCAAGTCTGGTATGAACTATCCAATTATACACATCACAACTGCCCTATTCTTACCTATACACTCCTAAAAAAATGACTGTCCCACAATACTTCACGAGCACAGAATACAAGGTTATAGTTTAACCAGAAAAATACAGCCAATGTTTCAGTTTAACCAAACAAGTACAGTCAACAAGGTTTCAGTTTAAAAACAAAGGACAAGGAAGATGAATGTACTGGAGAGCCTAGCCAAATAAACAAACAGTCCTTCAGCGAAAGACCCCAGTGATTTGATGTAGCACATAATACAGGTTCCCACTCCAACATGGTCAATGGAACATACATGTCAATGTGCTTAAACATAGAAAATTAAATTATATAGCTAGTTGGTAAAGTAAAACCCTCTATGAAATAAAGTACATCAGGGCATAACATTAAAATATTGCCGCTTCGATTAATTTCAAATCACCATCTGGAGTTATTGCAACACATACTGCTATAACATTTAGGTAATTGGCCACACTACAGCTTTTATCACAACAGTATTAGGATAAGGCACCTTGAGTATCAGTGAATGACGCAATAAACTGTTGAACAATCACATGTAAATGTAATTATAGAAACATCCCACAGGATTGCATGAACGGCAATCTTATTTTGTGACGTCAATGTAGAGGTTGTGTGGATGACCAAACAGGTACATTTGTAACCCTAACATGCTAGACACCCTTAACATTGTGTGAACAGTCTGGGAAGCATGCACGCATCAGGCACGGGTTCCCTCTTTGGTCCAGACAAAGATACCACCCACAGACGATACTCATCTATTAGCTGTGAGTAAATGTCTAGAGCTCAATCTCAGCAGTTGTTATTTTACTGACAGGTTTTAACTAAGGGTTGTACATTTGGCTATTGAGGTTGGCCTCTCTGGGTGCCACTAACTCAAGAGATACCCTGCCAGCTGTTTACACCCATGTTTTAACTAAGGGTTGTACATTTGGCTATTGAGGTTGGCCTCTCTGGGTGCCACTAACTCAAGAGATACCCTGCCAGCTGTTTACACCCATGTGAGCCAATTTTGGTTACGCATGGTGGGCACCAATGAACAAATGTATAAGCAGAGAGCCTGCTTGTTGCCCGAGGTGTGGTATAAAGTATCTCATCCACACCAAATAGAAATGTTTCCCACACCTGATGCGTACAGCCAATAAATTTCAGTTTACTCAAATCAGAACAGCCAGATTTCAGTTTAACCAGATGTGTACAAACAAAAGCTACATGAAAGATGAATGTACTGGAGAGCCTAGCCAAATAAACAAACAGTCCATCAGCGAAAGACCCCAGTGATTTGATGTAGCACAAAATACTTGTTCCCACTCCAACATGGTGAATGGGGCATACATATCAATGTGCTCAAACAAGAAAAAAAAATCATAAAAGTTGTAGAGTAACCCTTCATGCCAGGCACATTGGGCATAACTAGGCAATTGGTGTTATCCTCAAATTTTATAAACTACATGGTTTATTTTTCATTACTTTTTTATATTCTGCTGAAGTGTTATTTTAGATAGGTTTTCTGCATTTTACTGACAACCAATTCCTCTGGTTAATTAACAGTATTAGGCTGAGTATCAGAAAATAGCCCCCCCCCCCCCCCCCCCCACAAATGATGGACACCTGCCACCTAAATACAGATAAAATAAATGCAATCAGATATATCACACAAAAATGCACGGATACGAACAGTAATCCTCCTTTTGCTGTCAACAAGGTGCATGACCATACAAATTGGTATTTTATTCTTAGCAAATTAGACACCAATTGTTTTATCTGGAAACTTAGCACTGCAAGCTTGCTTCAGGTAAGGAAAAATTCCATTTAGATTCGACACTGCGAAAACTGCCTGTAGGGAATGCTCTATTAATCTCTTAAGTAGATTTCTTCTTAGTCTAGGGCTAAATCTCAGCAGTTCATTTTTTTGTGTGTGTGTATGTGGTTTAACAGATGTCATTTAGTAAAATATTTAGCTATTTTCATCCAGGTATTGTGGCTTGGGTGATAAAAGCCAGAAGATTTTTGGGTATTGTGGCCACCAACTCAGAGATTCCCTGATATCTCTTCCCCTCCCCTTCATACGAGTCATTATCCATGGCACATAGCAAGAGAGTTCAAGCATATCCAAAAAAAAATTCTTAAACGCGCCATAGCAGAGCCTTTTGATGCCAGACAGGGTTTCAATTTACCCAGATGAGTACAGTCAACAAGGTTTCAGTTTAACCAGACGAGTACAACCAACTAGAGAGTACAACCAACAAGATTTCAATTTAACCAGAGAGTACAACCAACAAGATTTCAGTTTAACCAGATGAATACAAGCAGAAGCTACAAGGAAGATAAATGTACTGGAGAGCCTAGCCAAACAAACATAGATATTTGATCAGCGAAAGACCCCAGTGATTTAATGTAGCGCACAATACTGGTTCCCACTCCAACATGGTCAATGGAACATACATGTCAATGTGCTCAGCGCAAGCAAAATTAAGCTGGACAGACTTTGGTAAAGTCAAGCCATCTTTTTCTACCCAAGGCACAGCCAGACACATGGTGTTATCCCATACTTTAAAAACTACAGGATGTATTTTTTTATTTTAAACGTTTCTATCTTCTTCAATCAGTCTGGAGTTAATGGTATATATATATGTTACATACATATAATACACTGCCGGTGTCTTAGTATTCACATGACAGCTGTCAACAATTGTTGTGACTAGTTATATTGCTAACAGTATAGGATGAGGCATTTGGCTATCAGGAAATATAAATTAATAACATGCCACTATAAGGGACACAGGCTTAACCAAAAATATTCTTTCTTCAAAGGTACCGCCTTAGCTACAACCGGTATACAGAATTGGTATTCTAAACTAAGTTACATGACGATTAGAACATGATGTAAACACCAATTTTAAATCACAGGGCGTGAATATGGATTTCTAAATGTCTAGTCAAACATACACCTGAATAAACTACCCCAAACAACTTGAAAAAAAAAACGACACAATTGCATCAACAAATTATAATACAAGCAGAAGTACAAATAAACAGGCAGGGGATGATGATACAGATATGTCAGGTGGCATGGAGACAAAACAGTAAAAAATTGAGGGCTATCAGAATAATGGCCGTAAATTATTAAGGTGGAAAATACACCCCAACAGGGCCTCAGTCATGTGTCAATTGTGCAGTTCCGTCTTAAAATGCGAGCTTCCATCGACGCCCGCCACAGCAGAATTGTGAATTTTTGGCAACTTCCGCCGCCGCTGCGGCGTGGATCGGGGCTAAACTAGATGGCTAGGACTCACAAGCAGTAGCTACCTCATCCCCCGCAGCTTCTTTCATTTTATTTGCTCATGAGTCCTATCCATCTAGTTTAGCCCCAACCCACGCCATAGTCCCCGGAAGTGCGCAACTGAGGCCCGGTAATGGTATATTTTCCACCTCAATAATTTACGATCGTTATTCAGAGGATAGCCAGATAGTGATATGCTGATACTAGTTCTTAAGACAATATGCTGCGAAAAAATCCAAGCAACAGCATATACCTAACCAAGTACTGAGGTACTGTATGAGCTTTTCTCTTCAGATTAACACCTGAACTGGTTTTAACGTTTACAAAGCGCTTTAATTGTCAAAAACAGTTGCCTCATTGTGATATGACATTTAACATTTAGCTATCTTGTGGTCCATGAAACAACGTAAAGAATGAGCTGTAATAATCAACAGCAAAAAGTATAATTACCTTTTCAGGAAATCAGCCAAAGCTTTGTTGAAGTCATGAGCACTGACGTCTTTCACTGAGATACCCATCTGAGATGCAATGAAAAAAAAGATAGAAAAAAAACTTAAAACAATGCATATTTGTGACCAGCAAACATGTTTTAAGTTAGCAAACAATTTTCATAAAATAAACGTGGAAAGTTAACTCCTTAGTTTAATATTTTTCAACGTATCAGTATGGGTTTCAGAGCCCTATTTAGGGGTGGGGGGGTGGGTGGGGGTAGAATGGAGCTAACGACTTTTAACATTTACATGATACTATAACTCTCAGAACAATAACTATCAGTAGAGGCGTCTTTGAGTGGCTACTGCATTGGGAGACTGATGATGCACACATAGGAATGCTCAATGTGCAAAGATGACGGTAGTAACATAAAAAGGTGAATTGTTTTAGGCCAAAAGCACATATAGCAGTCTAGCCGTTATCTCACACACGTCCATACCACTTTTAAAGACAAACCCAGATAAATAGCAAAATTCCCCTGTGTGGGTTCCGGGGCCCCATTGTGAGGAAAACAAGAATAGACCCACTGCCTCACCAAAAGTATGTCGTGAGAGTCGACTAATTGGGGAGCTTCCTTTAAAGTGGGAGTGCATCTGCCGGAGAGGCACGGAACCAAAAGTCTTTATTCAAGAGAATGAGATCTGTAAAACGTGCACAACACTCAGGTTCTGGAGCAGGACTGCAGTTCAGTAGTGGACGAGCAACCAGAACTTTCCGCCAGAGTTTACAGCTGGTGAAGGCGAAGAAGAAGAATAGCAAAATTTTATTTTATTAAATTGGAGCAACATGGTCGCTATATAACGTGAAATACTTCCGATGTGGGTATGCAGGCTATGCTTTGGTACAATAGTCTTTGCACATTAGGCATTCTAATGCGTGTTTAGTCCTTGGGGGGGGGGGGGGGTGAACCCATTTACCCGTAAACAAGTTTGTAAAAAGCAACTAATGGTTTTGCTGAAATTAATGTACTGTGTCGACGAAAGGCGCATATAGTGATATGATATACTCATATACTGCAGCCTAGCTGTAAATCCCAATACAATCAACCGCTTTTGTAAAAGGTAAACGTATATTTATAAAAATACCGGTTTAGTTTTTACTTGCCCGAATACTACACCTACACCAACTTGGGTCATAAAAGTAAAGAACCACAAAATATTTCTTTTCACCGGTCTTAAAGAGTCAACATTATGACTACTACTACACAGACATCGAATTTTCACAATACAACACACCGATGAAGATTATTTACGGCACGACTAATAATCGCACAAGGTTTCTTCAACCAAAATTCTAATTTATAAAAATTTAAATATAGATAAATAATTATAAATCATACTTTAAATTGATTTAAACTAAAACAAAACCAGATGTTTCAAGATAATCCTTCCTACCTTCTAAATGTGTACCTTCACCACGTACAGAGAATACGGAAAAGGAAGCCAGGCTGAACTTCCGCCGACAATTTGTGGAAAGAGTCACCGAAAAGAACCGCAAAAACTAACAGCTACATTAAGCTACATTTAATCCCCTTTTAAAATGTTTCATACAGCAATTGCGTGTTTCTAAATACGCGTATATTTAAACAGTACATATTATAATAGAATACCTTGTATAAAAAGCTTCAAAAACTATTCCGAAAATAAACTGACTTATTTAAAAACGATATGGATTTTGTTTCGCTTTTTTTTTTTTAATGTGACATGTAGTGCTTAATTTTCGTGTCCATGGTAATCATGAGAAATATGGGCTTTCCATCACATTTAGTACACCTCCTAACAGTTTAATATTCCTTACGTCCTTCTTAGGACGTTATTTTTTGTTATTTGAAGCCCCACTCTGGCTATTGCCAGGGGCCGCAATATAGGCAGGTCATCATTATGGCCAAATGTCTGAACGCGGTTTCTGGGACCTCTCCACGGTGATCCTCATCCGCATGGTGGCACTTTGTGTCATCGGGTGTTTATCGCTTGTGTGATGTCCTGGTGGGGTAAAAAGCCAAGCCAGCCAGCCAACCCTAACAGTGCTCTGTCTAGACCAACAAGCAACGGTTAGAATAGATAGTGAGACATCAGACTGATTTGACATGAAGCAAGGAGTCCGTCAGGGCTGTGTGCTGTCACCCTATTTGTTTAGCCTGGACACTGAAAATGTAATGAGAAATGTCAGAGATGATACAACCAGGGAGCAGTTTGGTGCCCTAAATATAGTTGGTCATGAAATACCAGAGATTCGATATGCCGGTGATACAATATTGATATCTACATCACAGACTGCTATAGAAAACCTAATAACCGCATCCCAAAGAAATTGTGAAGATCACAACTTATATCTTAACATAGCAAAAACAAAGATAATGCATTTAGATAAAACTACTATTCTGAAAGAAATATATGTTAATGCGGAAAGATTAGAGGTTGTCGAAAACTATGAATGTCTTACTAAGCGTTTGATTTTGCACTTTGTCCAACTGCTTTAATGTGGCACTTGATGCTGAACACCATGCAATTGACCCATATTCCAAGTGTGGTTGTTTGGTTGTATGCTCTGCTTGTATAGTAAAGTAAAGGACCCTTTCCACGCCTTTAGGCGTATAGGGCATATAGGGCTAGACCTATATTTTTATAGACCAACGGCACAAGATGTGTGATGTGGTCAGCATCACGCCGCTCTGCTTGTATACCCCTAAACAATTGGGCGTGTTCTTCTGTATTTCTGTTTATTTCAATACATCAATTATATGACGGAAATCATTCACCCAGACAATCAAAATAATCACACATCTACTGCGTACGCGATTGTTTCTTCCCCTTTGGTGAGTCTGATTTTACTACAGTGAAGATTAGATTTACGAGTACTGATTGACACCTCTATGGAAGATATGTGGTCTATTGTTTCAGTGAGTTGTTGCACTGAACTGTTGGTTAGTCACATTGGACTGTTGTTCACTAGCATTGAACTGCCGGCCAGTTGCAGAGTGCGGTTGGTAAACTGCACTGAACTGTTGTGAAGCTGTAGAGAGCTTTGATCAGTTGCAGTAAGCTTTTGGTTAGTTACTGTGAACTGTTTGTCAGTTGCAGTGAGCGTCTGGTAAATTGCACTGAATTGTTGTTATACTGTAGTGAGCAGCTGGTCATTGGCAGTGAGCTTTGGTCAGTTACTGTGAACTGTTTGTCAGTAGCAGTGAGCGGGTAGTCGACTACACTGAACTGTTGTCCAGTTGCAGTGAGCGGGTGGTCGACTACACTGAACTGTTGTTTAGTTGCAGTGAGCGGGTGGTCGACTACACTGAACTGTTGTTCAGTTGCAGTGAGCGGGTGGTCGACTACACTGAACTGTTGTTTAGTTGCAGTGAGCGGGTGGTCGACTACATTGAACTGTTGTTCAGTTGCAGTGAGCGGGTGGTCGACTGCATTGAACTGTTGTTCAGTTGCAGTGAGCGGGTGGTCGACTACACTGAACTGTTGTCCAGTTGCAGTGAGCGGGTGGTCGACTACACTGAACTGTTGTTCAGTTGCAGTGAGCGGGTGGTCGACTACACTGAACAGTTGTCCAGTTGCAGTGAGCGGGTGGTCGACTACACTGAACTGTTGTCCAGTTGCAGTGAGCGGGTGGTCGACTACACTGAACAGTTGTCCAGTTGCAGTGAGCGGGTGGTCGACTACACTGAACAGTTGTCCAGTTGCAGTGAGCGGGTGGTCGACTGCACTGAACTGTTGTTCAGTTGCAGTGAGCGGGTGGTCGACTACACTGAACTGTTGTCCAGTTGCAGTGAGCGGGTGGTCGACTACACTGAACTGTTGTCCAGTTGCAGTGAGCGGGTGGTCGACTACACTGAACTGTTGTCCAGTTGCAGTGAGCGGGTGGTCGACTACACTGAACTGTTGTCCAGTTGCAGTGAGCTTTTCTTTGGTGAGCTGGTTTTCAATTGCTGTTGGCTGTTGGTCAGTTGTAGCGAACTGTCCCTCAGTCACGATGAACTATAGCTCAGTCAGAATGAACTGTCATGTCCATTGAACTTTTGCTTATTCACAGTGAACTGTTAATTGAGTTGTAGAGTGCTGTAAATTACAGTGAAGTGTTGGTCAGTTGCACTGAACTGTTGCTCAGTTGCACTGAACTGTGTTAGCAAATAGCTCTGAACTGTTGGTCAAGTTTGTGAGTTTGTATATCCTGTTAAGACAGGAACTTTTCTGGTTTGACCTTTCTAAGCCTTTAATTGCCTCTCGTCCAAACTACAATGCAGCAGGTTATTACAAAGCACGAGCCTCGAAGCTTCATAAATCCCAATAAGAACTGTACTCTTGAACCAAACGAAGCACTTCATCAACATCTATCGATATTTATGTCCGGCGGTCTCATTATTTCATTCTCTTTCTTTTCCTTCCACTTCCCTCATGATTGTTGGATGACAATGGGTCAGTTTCACCCCCACCCCCACCCAATGCTAATCTATCTTCACCCGAACCTCCAATATTGGCGCTCCGAAACTCACACGGAATAATGGTCTACGAGTTAGCTCTCCCCCAAGCCGCTAACCTCCCTGGGTTGGTATTGTGCGGTAACATTATAATTTCGCAGTGTGCGGTTGTAGAAGGAAACGCTTGGGAGCATTCGCGATGGGAATTCACGTGCTGGCACAGAAAGTACGGTGAGGATAGATGTGAATCCTACAGTGTCCTTCACTTGGAGACCAGATACATGGCGGATGGGCCATCTTGAGATGTAGGAGCTTCCTATCGGAAGTGCGATGTCAAAGTTAGTTGCGTATCCTTTTCAGGACGTTGCAGAACCAACCCTAACAGCCCCTGGCTGTTGTGTGGTTTCTCTAGGCAATTTACATCCAGTAGTTTGCCATTGCTTCCTGGACGGTCGGCTTTCTTGATACCACTGTCGAAACCAACGCAAGGCGCATTGCCCGCAGCTGGGATCGAACCTGGCATCCCGGCATTACGAAGCGAAGCGTTCGCATCGACTTAGCCACAGAGCTGACGTGCGATGTCATAGCGGATAAAAAAAAAAGAGGACGTGGCTGTAAATGTACAATAAGTTTAAGTAAAGGACTTAACAGGTGGAGAACCCTTGAGACTGTAGAAACTTATATTTACTTTTTAAAAAAAAAATCGATACATTGAATTAAGCAGAATTACAGAAAAACACACACAAATGTTTGGGGGAAGGGTAAAGGTGGGAAAGGGGGATCTTCTTTTTTATTTCACGCCATCTGGGGAACTCCAAGATCTATCTCTATCTTCTTTTACCCCAATAAGACATCACACAAGCAATTAACACCCGATGACATCAAGTGCCACCATGTGGATGAGAATCACCCGTGAAGAGGTCTCAGAAACCGCGTTCAGCCATTAGACCATATTTACGGTCGGGCTATATTACGGACCCTGGCGGGAGCCAAGGTTAACCTTCAACATAACGAAAAATTGCATCCCAAAAAGAGATGACAAGATGACATAACTAGAGTAGATTTTATACCCCACCAGGACATCACACAAGCGATAAACACCCCATGACACAAAGTGCCACCATGCGGATGAGAGTCACCCGTGGAGAGGTCCCAGAAACCGCGTTCAGTCATTAAATCATATTTATGGTCGGGCTATATTGCGGCCCCTAGCAAGAGCCAGTGTGGGGCTTCAACATAACGAAAAATTTAATCTCAGAAGGAGATGACTGACTGACTGACTTTCTACCCCACTAGGACATTACACAAGCGATAAACACCTGATGACACAAAGTGTCACCACGTGAATGATGATCACCGTGGAGAGGTCCCAGAAACCGCGTTCAGACAATTGGTCATATTGATGGCCTGCCTATATTGCGGCCCCTGGCAAAAGTGATGCTTCAAATAACAAACAATTTCGTCCTAAACTGACTGACTGACTTTCCACCCCACCAGGACATCACACAAGCGATAAACACCCGATGACTCAAAGTGCCACTATGTGGATGAGGATCGCCGTGGAGAGGTCCCAGAAACCAGCGTTCAGGCAATTGGCCATATTTATTGCCTGCCTATATTGCGGCCCCAAGCAAAAGCCAGGGTGGGTCTTCAAAAAACAAAAAATGTTGTCCTAAAAAGGACAAAACTGGATTTTACACAGGACGTAAGGAACATAATTCCCGGGAAAATCCAATATTATTGGGGCAATAAGGTGCGAAATGAACACCAACTAACACTAACCCTAAACTCCTACAATATTGGCTTTCCGGGAAATTCCTGAAATCTCGGAGTCGCTGAGATGGGGGTAAATATAATAAAAGAACCGGGAGGGGAGCAAGGGAGCATAAGCTCCCAGGTTCATGCGCCTATTTTGAGAGATCCTTGTTGACTCAGGGGAAGGAAATGTGCATGGGTAGTTTCAGTCACTGAAGTCGAGTCGATTGCAGCTCGATGATCTCCCCTCTATTACAGTTGACCAGATCGGAGGTAACCATGTAAATGCTATTTTGTTGACGGTCAGGTCCCTAGGTTGTCGTATTATGTGACGGAAATCATTCACACAGACAATCAAAACAATTACATGTTTACTGCAGACGTGATTGTTTCTTCCCCTCTAGTTATTTACAGCAGGGTAGTATTGATTTCAAACTGGCTTCAGGAAAGATGTTTTAACGACTAAGTGGAGTGACACTGACTGACCTTGTGCAGTTTGATTTCACTACAGCAAAGAAAACATTCAAGAGTACTAATTGACACCTCTCATGAAGTTATATTGTATTGCAACAAAGAATATATATGTTCAGTCGGGAGCACTAACACTTAGGTAGGTCATTGATTACCAACAATGGTGACACAATGAAAGAAATAATACGACGACTGTCAATTGCTCTTAAAACAACTGAATATATTAGGGTGTGGGACAAACATAACTACAAAATTAGTTTTATAAGAACATGCATCTTTCCTATTGCAAGATACGCCTGTGAGACCTGGACACTTACTAAACAAGCTGAACAGCGCATACATTCTTTTGAATACAAACGTTATAGACGGATTCTAAAAATATCATAGGTACAGAAAAGTTCAAACGGATCCATACTTCAAGAACTGAATATTGAAGAAGGTTGGCTATTAAAGACGATAAAACACAGAAAATTGAAATATTTTGGTTACTTGAAACGTCAAAAAAGTTTAGATAGAACAATAATGGAGGGGCGTATGCCTGGGAAGAGAGGAAGAGAAAGGCCAAAGAAAAGGTGGGTGTAGGATGTGGCGGATGATCTCCAGATGGGTGTATCGGAGGCGGGACATCTTGCTTGTGATCGAGAAGTTTTCGGGAGGATTGTTGTGGGAGCAAGGTTTTGCAAAGAACATGCTACTGACTGATGGTAAAAGACGAAATGTTGACTTGAAAAACAACATAGTAGCACTCGGGACGTTCCCACAAGTTCTCCGTTCTCGTATTCAGCAGTCAACGCAGATTCCAACTCCAGTGGTTCCAGCAGAAGTCTGGCGAAATGAAAATTCCATGCAATAGAAAAGTACTAAGACTGCAGCTTGGGTGGATTTACCTGGCTACAAAGAACATCCTGTGAATTATGCTGAAACAGAAATGCTACTAACTAGATTGCGTGAAATATGAACTATAATGGAAGCCCATACTAAATAGATGACGAATGTTGATCTGCTTTTAATCCCGTAATTCAGGGATGCCTGGTGCGATCCAAGCTCTGTTTGCGATTCGACGACCGACCACCTCGCGTGGCTTTTACAGTGGTATCGAGACCCGACTGTTCAGTGGGAATGACAGACTACTAAACTTAATATCACCTAGTGAAATCACAAATGGCCAAAAAAAGCCGAGGTTCTGCTAAGTCCTGAAAAGCCGGCATGTCAAAAGGAGAGTCCGTGGAGCGGTGTTTTCGATCGCAAGAGTGAGGGAAAGTTAAGGTCGTTGTAATGTCGAAAGGATTTACCCCGTACCTTACCTCGGGCGCCACCCTTCTCTGTGCTCCTTTTACGGATCCTCGTGCAAGACTCCTGTCACACGTCCTCGTCGTGTGCCACATATGACTCACATGAGCATAATCCGAGCTGGCAGGGGATCTCGGAGTTGGTGGCCCTGAGAGATGCAGTGCCCATAAATCATCTGGCTCTCGTAACCCCACCCCCAATGTATCTTGTACTTATGTAAAATCTGGCTCAGACTCCGGCTTCAGACAACATGACAATTAAAATGATCGATGAAGTAATAGAATATGAAATGTTTTATGTCATTGGTCTGCGAAACACAATTCTTTGTTGTTGGAGACGAACTTCTGGCATTTTGTAAACACAGCGGTACCTTGGTATACGTCCTTATTATGTTCCAGATCTTTGGATGTATCCCAAACAGATTTTCTCATAAGAAAAATAGAACAGTATGTCCACAGAATTTTACCTCTGCCTTTAACTAAGGATGTTTCGGAAATGTGACATTGTCTGTTTTTTTCAGACAATACTATTATAGCCTAAAACAAGTGTAAGAATTTAAATACTTGGTAAGTATCTTTACATTCAATGGTAAAATAGACAGAGAGATCGAAGCAAGAATCCAACAAGCCAACAATGTCGCATACCAGCTTGCCCCAATTTTAAAACACCCTGCTGTCCCAGCTGAGATAAAAAGACAAATTATAAATACAATCTTTATACCGACATTAGGTTATCAATGTCAGACTTGGACATTAACAAAAGAACACGAGATAAGACTAACCACCTGTGAAATGAGATGTTTGAGAATGGCTGCGAATAAAACCAGAAGAGATCGAGTGAGAAACGATGTGATTACAAGAACTATTGGAACCATACCCATCGTTAAATTTATTGAGAAGCAAAGAATGAAAGGGTTTGGTCACCTAATGAGAATGGAACCAACGATGCCAGCATCAAGAGCATACAACATGAAAATCGAAACACCAAGAGGCAGGGGAAGACCAAGAAGAAGATGTATTGAATGAGTCACTGACAACTTGAGATTTCATAACATCACGGCATATGAAGCGACTGAGCGCGCCCTGGCTCGGTTGCCGATCATCTGATAGACTGCGACGCCTAGCGGCACAATTAGATTTTGACAAAAGCAGAAGAAGAGAAGACTATTATAGCTTGTCTGAACAATGTTGAGGTGGTACTTCTCTGCCCCTCTCACCCCCGAATGTTGAGCGTCGGCCGGATGCCCTAGTCACTCTTAGCTGAAGTTTTTTGGGGCGTCGCAAGTCAACCAAGCCTTAAATGGGTACCAGGATGGATGTCCCAGGGAAGTAAAGACGACCGGCGTAATGCTGACCACATTACCCACATACTACCGATGGTCTGTAAAAAATATGGGTGCTCTTCCCATATGCCCGATACGCTTAAAAGCCGTGAAAATGGATCTTAACTTTTCTTTACTACAGAATCTGGAAGTCAAAAACTGATTTTATGACAATTCCTTCCCAAATCATGTGATTATCTATTCAGATGACTTTGTGTTGCCACACACACACACACACACACACACACACACACACACACACACACACACCCCCCCAGTGTGGGTTCCGAGGTCCTATTGTGCGGAAAAAAAGAAAAAACCCACTGCCTCCCCAACAAGCTTGCCGTAAGAGTCGATTAATTGGGGGCATCCTTCAAAGTTGAGAGAGGCACGGAACCAACAGTCTGTGTACAAATATGTCAGATCTGTAAAACGTATGTGCACGCAACCAGGTTCTGGAAGAAATTTTAAGTGCAGAAGTGGATGGACAACCAGAACTATCAGCAGGAGTTTACAGATGGCTAACGGGACTTATACACATCTTCTATATAAATTCGGAGAAAGTCCGAACCATGTGTGAAAAAAAAATATCTTACAATTTATATAATGAACGAAATATTTATTATGCGAAAGTTAAAAGCACCGAAACAGCGAGAAGACAACCGGTCACCCTTGCGAGAGAAAACTTCTGCTACAGGAAACGAGGAAGTGAGGAGACATGAATCTCCGTGAGTTTCCTCTCAAAAGTTTTGAGTTCCCTGAAGTTTTTATCTACAACTGAACTTAAATTTCATGTGGGGAATAAATACGTGTACCGTTTCTGTGTGGTTACAAGTTGTTTGTAAACATTTTCTGAACTTGGTTCTGCCTGTACTGGACTTTTTATTTTGATATTAAGAGATTGGATTGAGTTTTAAAAATATTTGGTAATTGTTTGATTTAAATGAAAAAAATGTATGTACTTTTAAAACTGAGTTTAGTACCTGTACCCACTCATTCTTAGTTGATTATCGTGCTGTCTATACGACTAGGTGACAGCTGCACTTAATCGACAGTTCTAACTAAATGTAATGTGTACTGGGTTAATCTATCTGCTATTAATCACGGGTAGCTATGATTAAGACTTATAATAATCATATACATCATATTGACATACAGGTACAAGTACGCCTAAAAGAAGGAGTGGCCCAAACTAACCCAGTCAAAGAAACAGAAGACCAGGACCAGGTTTAGCCATCCTAAAATGGGTATCAGAAAATGTTATGCGAAGCAAAGGTGGCCATTCTAATCTCTTATAGGACTAAATCAGTTAAAACAGAAAACGTTTAGCACCATATAAAAAAAGTAAATAAACATGAATGTGATCTGCCATTGCCATACTAATGATATGGAGGGATAAGTCAAGGAGGAATTTTATATACATGATCTTTGACATACTCCTATGAGTAATCACTGAAAGTACTTAAGTAAAGTATCCAAGTTTTCTCGAGTTTTCTGAATGCCAAGGTAGGACCAGATAACATGAGTTACGAAGAGTTTATAGAAATACAGAGTTTTCTTTCTATGACATGCTTGTTAGGGGCATTGGTTTCTACTCTGACCCCTCGTCCTCCCTAAGTGAAGACTTGGAACCCACACAGGGAGCTGCCTACCCCTAGCCTGATTATTAGTTTCTGTAATGTGAGAACACATATTGTTTTTAGCACTGTCTCTGCTACTCTTGCTGTTTATGTCCCCTAGCTCCTAGCGATTATTAGTTTCGCGGCGGCCGGGTAACTCCTTGTGTCCGGGTTCACTCCCGGGGGTAGGCAGAAAAGCCACATTTCTATTGTACCTATTTCAAGCCAGGGTGCGATCTCCATAGTACCTTGCAAAGGGTTTACAACTCATGGTTTCTGGATACATTAAAAAAAAAAAAAAAAAAATGTCCACCTTAATTTGTTTAAAACCTTTATATGTATTTTGTTAAATATAATGCATACATTTGTTTTCACTACAGAAAAATCAAGTACTATGGGATTAATTCCAGCAGGAGCAAAATTGCTGCTGACTGTAGGGATTGTATGGCTATGTAATATGAGAGGTAAGGTTGTATGAATGAGTCTGAGTTTTTATGTGCTGCTGTTAGTTATAAATAGTGCGCATGACCCCTGATCAGTCGATTTGTATGTCCCCTCAGGGATGCTACCTAAAAGTTTACCAGACCATCCTGAGATTAAAAAATGTAAGTCTGGATGGTAGACCAACAAGGCAGATCCCAAATACCTGGTTCAACCTCCAAAGCAGTTAGAATGAAGGCACCACTAACAGTTCTTGTGTAATCTGTAGTCCTGGGTGGTGGGTAAGAATCACCCCCCCCCCCCCTCACCCCACAGGTCATGGTTCAAAGCTGATATCCACCTTGAGATTGGATTTGTGACCTTATATTTCTGGGGTCGGCTGCATCTAGTTAAAGTGTATCTGAAGATATTCTTCAAGATACATTAGCCACAAATGTCAATGTAGACAGTTGGGTCACATATGCCAGCACATTGATCTAGCTTACCAAAATAATTAAAATAAAGTGCTGAAGTCAGAGAAAACCAGCCAGGAGGCGCACCATAAAAATTAGGATGCCACACACACACACACACTATAAGAAAAATATATCTATATCTGCGAATAGATCTAGTCTTGAAATAATGAATTACAAAACACAGTGAAGTTCATACTAGAGACAACATTGCAGATGTAGATTATCTATTTCAAGCGAACGAAAGAAGAAGACGGAAATTAGCGTTTTATACTGACTGGGATGCAGAACTGCTGGCCTGCATGTTGTGATGCACTGGGACCAGAGCTCATTACTGGTCCAGACCTGTCTACATCTCCTCCATGGTCATCTTCGAAACAGGATCCCAACATGGGACCTGCCCAACATAGATATGATTGGTGTTTCATTTTAAGTTGGATTGCACCTACCTGAGAGACGAGAAGCCAACACAAGTCAACCAGATCTGTAAAACAAATGGTCATGCAAACTCAAAGCCCTGGAATAAAACCAAATTTCAGAAATGGATGAACAACCAGGACTTTCTGCTGGAATTACAGCCGGTGAGAGGGGACTTTTCATGGACATGATAATGAATGGCCTAGATGGGACTTTTCATGGACTGTCTAGAGGGGACTTTTCATGGACATGACAATTGACGGCCTAAAGGGGGACTTTTCATGGACATGACAATGGACTGCCTAGAGGGGACTTTTCATGTACATGACAATGGATGGCCTAGATGGGACTTTTAATGGACATGACAATGGACGGCCTAGATGGGACTTTTAATGGACATGACAATGGACGGCCTAGATGGGACTTTTAATGGACATGACAATGGACGGCCTAGATGGGACTTTTAATGGACATGACAATAGATGGCCTAGAGGGAACTTTTAGCTGGACATGACAATAGGGCCTAGAGGGAACAGCTGAGGTTTTCAAGGGTCATAAGACCATGACCCTTTTCAACAGTTCCTCATGCTGTGGCAACCCTTTAATACAGTTCCTCATGCTGTGGCGACCCTTTAATACAGTTCCTCATGCTGTGTGACCCTTTAATACAGTTCCTCATGTTGTGGCGACCCTTTAATACAGTTCCTCATGTTGTGGCGACCCTTTAATGCAGTTCCTTATGTTGTGGTGACCATTTAATACAGTTCTTATGTTGTGGTGACCATTTAATACAGTTCCTGATGTTGTGGTGACCCTTTAATACAGTTCCTCATGTTGTGGTGACCATTTAATACAGTTCCTCATGTTGTGGTGACACTAGATTGCTTGGTCATTACAGCAGCAGTGACATCCTGCCAGTAAAGTATGTTGGGTTTTCATATCCTTGTATTCCCTTGTCGGCTCTGGGGCCCCCTGGGTGTGTAGAGAATAGACTCAGCCCCTGGCCCTCCAACAAGCATGTAATATAAGTGACTAATTAGGGGTGTATCCTTTGCAGTCATAGTGCATCTGCCTGAGAGGTGATAAACCAACAGTCTGTATACATATAGTTCATATCTGTAAAATGGATGTGTGTGCAAAACTCAAATTCTGGAGCAAGACCAAAGCCCATAAATGGATGAACAACCTACATTTTTCCACCAGAGTTACAGTCGGTGAAAGCCAAGAAGAAAAACATAACTTTGCAGAAGTAACATGGCTGTGATGAAGTTGGGAGAAAGACGCTGGTTTTCTCCCAAATGCATTCACAGGAGCCATAAGAATATGTCAGATTCTTCTTGCTTTCATGACAGGAAACTGATTGTTTGGCAGTCACACATAGCTGCTGATTTGTAGGACATTTGGGGTGAACACAGGGTTTGTTTGCACAAAAGACAGACACCTGAGGATCAACCATATGTATATCTTATAAAGAAGATCATCATCAAGTGCTTGCCAGCTAGCGTAGGCGTTCGTGCATTTCCACAGATCTCAGTCTTTGGGATTCTGGATCAGTTCCACTGACAACATTCTCCATGCCTCTGTCTCAAGCCATTCACCATCGTTTCTCTTGGTCTGCCTCTGCCTCTTCTACCAGTGATCTTTTCAGTCATCACAATATTTTCGAGTGCTCCTTTTCTCATCACATGACCAAAAAACTTTGTTTGTCTCCTTCTCATTGTTGTATACAATGTTCTATCTTCATTAGCTTTTGCAGGCAATCGTTGTTAGTTATTCTGGCAGTCCAAGGTATTTGCAGCATTCTTTTCAAGAACCACATTTCAGTTGCCTCCAAACTCTTCTTCATTGTAAGGAAGATTAAAAAAAGCAACAACATTTATTTGAAAAAAAAAAAAAATCCCTTCAAATGATTACAATCTTCAAGTTGTGCTGCACAGTAAATCATACTGCTAGGCCACATCAGAACAATTATACTTTCTGCACAGTAAATCATACTGCTAGGCCACATCAGAACAATTATACTTGCTGCACAGTAAATCATACAGCTAGGCCACATCAGAACAATTATACTTGCTGCACAGTAGATCATACTGCTGGGCCACATCAGAACAATTATACTTGCTGCACAGTAAATCATACTGCTAGGCCACATCAAAACAATTATACTTGCTGCACAGTAAATCATACTGCTAGGCCACATCAAAACAATTATACTTGCTGCACAGTAGATCATACTGCTAGGCCACATCAAAACAATTATACTTGCTGCACAGTAGATCATACTGCTAGGCCACATCAGAACAATTATACTTGCTGCACAGTAGATCACCCTTCTAGGCTACATAGGAACAATTGTGCTTGCTGCACAGTAGATCATCCTGCTAAGCCACATCAAAACAATGTTAAAACTCTTCCATACTTTGTCTCTGCAGGTTCTGATGCTCAAAGTCCGGCGATGGCTCTAGAGGGTGCACCAGCCGAGGTGACCATCACCATTCCCAACAATCAACTGGCAGATAGTGCTAGCTACATCTCCATTCGACTTGACAACGGACACAATTTAACCGATGTTCTGTACTCTGTCGGGGGGCAACCAAAGGTCAAGGATGAATATGACAAGAAACTGACAGCCACTCAAGAAGGTCGGAGGTTGAGAATACAGTTTCGGAGCGTCACTGCGGATGTTGCCGGAACTTTCAAGTGCTATGCTCATGCCAGCTCCATGGTCATTGATAATTGTGGGCAGCTACTGATTGTTATCCGTAAGTGACGTACAAAGTCTCTTGTCCTCACCTCTGGTTTGTTTCTTTTTTTTTTTGTTTTGTTCACCAGCTGTGAATTTTGACAGGAAGTCCTGGTTGTTCATTGATTTGGGCTTTGACTTTGTGTCAGGACCGGAGTTTTGTGGGTATATCTGTTTTGCTAGCTTATCTCTGTGCAGAATGTTGTTCCTGGCCTCTCGGGCTCTCGAGCAGGTGTACTGTGACTTTCAAAGAACTTTCCTCTTCTCTTAATCTGCTAGTATTTGTTTAGCTGTCTCCATTAGCTCCACATTGCTGTCTCTATAGTACTATATCCGTGGATGGGTTCTCCACAGGCAATAACTGTGGATAACGGGACAGAAAGGAGGCTACATCATGTCCAACCAAACCAACAAGGAAGGCTAATCTAGTGAACAAATGCCTGATGAAGTCAAATGTGTCGGCCAAAAGGTGCAAGTTCACAGCTGTGCTGTAGAAAGGCACACACAATTGTAACACTCAGTTGACGATGAAGTAGTACAATTGTAATCACTCTACTCTGACAGTCGCCTAAAATGATAACTTGAAGTTCTCTAGGGAAAAAAGCAGATGATATATCTTCTTCTTCTTCTTCACTTCCTCTTTTACCGCTGTGGGTGTCGAGGGAGATATAAGGTTCTTTTTCTAGCTCTTCTGGCTGCCTCGACCATAGACACATCGTGCTGTTGTAGAGTTTCTCTGATGTTATCCTTCCATCTTGTTCTTGGTCTACCCCGTGCTCTATGTCCTTCTTCTCTTTCCATGTATGCTTTGTATGGTATGGTGTCACAAGGCATTCTCTCTAAGTGGGCAAACCATTTCACTTGCTGTCTTTGTATGTAATCCAGAATTGGTTCTGTGCCGACTTGTTCTCTTATGATCTCATTCCTGATCTTATCTCTTATGGTCACTCCTACAGCCCTTCTCAGACATCTCATTTCCGTGGTTACTAATTTTCTTTTATGGTTTGTTGTGAGTGACCATGTCTGGCACTGGTAGCACAGAGTTGGAATAAATATGCTTTGAATAAGATGTCTCTTTGTGCTGATTGGGATTGTCTTATGCTGTAAGAGGGGGGCTAGCTGTCCCAATACTTGGTTTGCTTTACTGCATCTAATGTCAATTTCTTTATCCAGTTTCCTATCTTCGGTAAATGTAGTTCCCAGATATTTAAACTCAGATGCCTGTTTAATGCCTTTGTATTCTATATACAGTTAATCATTATACCCATTACCAGAATGACAACTCTCAGTTAAAATGTCTGTCGAGCAAAAGAACTACTAAACTGGTGAGACTCAGCTCTAGACCAAGAGATTTGCTTGCGGCGTAGAAAAACATCTCCTTCAGGTGGTATCTCATGGTGCTGTCTGAGGTAAACGACAGTCTGACATGATTTGAAATGATACATCTCAAATGTCCGTCAGACACGTGTCTTATGGAAGAACAGTGTCTCAAATGTCCCACTGCAAAAATATCCTGCTAATTGGCTGAAAAGTTCAGATGTCCCCTACCATTGGCACCCACTCGTCTGAGTGTCAGGACCCAACAGGGAAAATCATACCTGATGCCTGGTTTCTTGACACTGTCCTAACAAGAGTCCAGATAAAACAGCGTTAAAGGTGTCAAAGGAGGAAGAAAAATGTGCCTATTTGTATGGTCATTGACTGTCCTGGACCTGCTGAACTCCAGAGTGTGCAGCCAATGATGAGATGATGAGTGGGATGCTCAACATACGAGTGTGAGGCTAATAGACATGTGTAGGGCGTGATGATTCCTTGGGTGAGTTCAGGACCAGAGCGTCATGTGTTGGCTATGCTTTTATGGACGCCTCCTTGGATTGCAGGGAATGCCCGTGACCTGCCTTCCCTTAATAGCTGACCAGTCTACACTCAGCTGCCTGGAGGGGTTCTCCAGGGGTATCCCCTTAGAAAAGGGGACAAAGAGAACACCACACAAATAAGGCAGCAACATGTCCCTGCCCCACGTAACTATCTGAGAAGTTTACCCGGGCAACAAGTGCTTGATAAAGTTGGATGTGTTGGCTTTAAACAGGCACAAGCAATTACGTCACTCGGACAAACCAAAAGAAGAAGAAGAAAAGGCTTTTTTATAGTTGAGAGCATGGTTGCTTCTCCCTTTGTTAACCATTATTAATTAGCCAGTGAGTTGTACTTCCCGGACACCAGCATACTTTGGTTATATAATGTAAGATTTAGCAACAGGTAAAACCAGACCTCCATATAATATATGAACAATCAACAGGTAAACCCAGACCCCCAGTTGTTAGAGTACTGCCATCATCCAGTCTTGTCGTGGGTTCAAGACTACAGCTTCTATGTGATGCTCGCTCAAACAGCCTGCCTATCAACCATGGGTTAGCTTCAGAGATCTTGTGGTTTGATCAAACTGGCAAGTCTATTGGTTCACCGGGCACTGACCCAAAGGTATATAGTTGTTTATTTTATTATGCTTCTTTATGTGGTTATCATTTAGGTTTGTTATTTCCTTGTGTCACTTTCTCTCTTCATGTTGTTTGTTACTTTAATCACTAGTACACAAGTAATTTACACTCCTGTACGTCTTTCTCTCTCCATGTTACTGTTTAAAAAAAAAAAAATCCCTGAATACATTACAGTCCTGTAGTAGTTACTACTGTCTGTCCCCAAAAATAGATTGGGTATTATGATATTTTGCTTCAAAAAATGTACTAGTGCTTGTTTTTGGATGCAAAAATTGTGCCAGAAAGATAACAAGAGCATATTTAATAAAATGTTATAATAGTTATATTTTGCTTTATTGATTTTGTTTTGTCAGCTTCCATTTCTATTGTCACCAGCTTTCCATTTGTGTGTTGTCCTCCAATCTCCAGCCCGCCTGTGGATCCGAAGGTCTCAGGTTCAGGTCCTGACGGAACCAGACTTTAAAAAAAAAAGAAGACCTTGGCTCCCTGGTCGACCCAGCCTGACATGGTTACAAGGTGAAGTTCTGGGAAGTAAGTGCGGCCAGCTTGATGTTGACTACATAACCGAGTGCTGATTGGTCAATAAAATATAGGTCTAGCCCTATATGCACAATAGGCCTAAAGGCGTGGAAAAATGTCTTTGACATTTTTTTTTTTTACCTCTAGTCTGTCCCTTCTGCTGCTGTCAATGCTAGTTTTTCTTCTTCTGTATTCTGCATGTAAGGGCTGTTGGCAGGAAGTGTATGGTTTGTTGTTCGTCCTTCACGAGTGATGCGAAACACTTTTCATCCACAACTAGGCAGTGATATCTGCATTGTTAAACAGACACATCCAATGTTAGCACATTCCGAATTAGTTGCCTTGTACAACATGCTTCTTCAAGGGCATGGTTCCATTCTCTTTTCTGCCAAAATATTGCCTGGTTACTCGCACACGTCAGCTAATGCCTGTTAGATTATTACTCGCACCATATTTTTGTCTTGTGTTATTTTCATTGACTTTGCTTCATTTGATGACATCCTTCTCTTTGAAATAAGCACTTGTTATTGATCGACCAGGTACGTGTCAATGCCCAGAACCAACTTGTCATTGAGCCTCTGGAGAGGGCATACAAAGGCCGCAAGTTTTACTGTACAACAGCGGACAGCACCGGAGACATCAGCAAGAGACTTGTCTCTGACCCTAGTGATCAGTTTGAGGTGACTCCTGAATGTGAGTTTTATAACTTTTGTAAATTAGTAAATGAAAAAAAAAAATGTAAAACTTGCAACTTTGTTCAGTTCAGATTATCTTTATAAACATATCCAAAAGATCTTCCCAGGATATCCTACAGACTAGTGTCTTCCCAGAATATCCTACAGACTAATGTCTTCCCAGGATATCCTATAGACTAATGTCTTCCCAGGATATCCTACAGACTAATGTCTGCCTAGGATGTCCCACAGACTAGTGTCTTCCCAGGATGTCCCACAGACTAGTGTCTTCCCAGGATGTCCCATAGACTAGTGTCTTCCCAGGATGTCCCACAGACTAGTGTCTGCCCAGGATGTCCCATAGACTAGTGTCTTCCCAGGATGTCTCACAGACTAGTGTCTTCCCAGGATGTCCTATAGACTAGTGATGTCTCACAGACTAGTGTCTTCCCAGGATGTCTTATAGACTAGTGATGTCTCACAGACTAGTGTCTTCCCAGGATGTCCCATAGACTAGTGATGTCTCACAGATTAGTGTCTTCCCAGGATGTCCCATAGACTAGTGATGTCTCACAGACTAGTGTCTTCCCAGGATATCCCGTAGACTAGAGATGTCTCACAGATTAGTGTCTTCCCAGGATGTCTCATAGACTAGTGATGTCTCACAGACTAGTGTCTTCCCAGGATGTCTCACAGACTAGTATCTTCCCAGGATGTCCCATAGATTAGTGTCCGCCCAGGATGTCCCATAGACTAGTGTCTGCCCAGGATGTCCTATAGACTAGTGTCTGCCCAGGATGTCCCACAGACTAGTGTCTGCCCAGGATGTCCCACAGACTAGTGTCTTCCCAGGATGTCTCACAGACTAGTGTCTTCCCAGGATGTCCTATAGACTAGTGATGTCTCACAGACTAGTGTCTTCCCAGGATGTCTTATAGACTAGTGATGTCTCACAGACTAGTGTCTTCCCAGGATGTCCCATAGACTAGTGATGTCTCACAGACTAGTGTCTTCCCAGGATGTCCTATAAACTAGTGATGTCTTACAGACTAGTGTCTTCCCAGGATGTCCCATAGACTAGTGTCTGCCCAGGATGTCTCATAGACTAGTGTCTTCCCAGGATGTCCCATAGACTAGTGATGTCTCACAGACTAGTGTCTTCCCAGGATGTCCCATAGACTAGTGATGTCTCACAGACTAGTGTCTTCCCAGGATGTCCCATAGACTAGAGATGTCTCACAGATTAGTGTCTTCCCAGGATGTCCCATAGACTAGTGATGTCTCACAGACTAGTGTCTTCCCAGGATGTCTCATAGACTAGTATCTTCCCAGGATATCCTATAGACTAGTGTCTGCCCAGGATGTCCTATAGACTAGTGTCTGCCCAGAATGTCTCATAGACTAGTGTCTTCCCAGAATGTCCCACAGACTAGTATCTTCCCAGGATATCCCACAGACTAGTGTCTTAATTCCGCATCACCTTTTTATAGCTTCTCACCTGACCTCTTGGTTGCCGCTGATGGTTGGAGTACTGTCCCTCTTTTTTCATTGTTGTGTAGTTAGTTGATGTTGAAAAAGGTCCCAGGCGAAACTTTGATTTGTGTGTTTTGTGCACTCTGTTTTACTTCCCCGTTTTATTAGGTTTTTCAGTTACAGTTTTAACTGGATTGATTTCTCTGTTGTTATTCCTGTAGATGGACCAGCCATAGAAGATTTTCAACTAGAGCCAGCATTTAAACATGAGGATGTGGTGGAGAAGAAGACTGGGGACACAATTACTTATCGATGTGATGCTGTTTGTTCGCCGACATGCACAATAACATGGATGTTCAAACCTGCTGCTGGATCTACAGAGTAAGGTCAACTTTTCTTTCTTTGTTTATTTTTCCTTTATTCTTTTTCTGTCTGTCTTTCTTTCTTTCTTTCTTTCTTTCTTTCTTTCTTTCTTTCTTTCTTTCTTTCTTTCTTTCTTTCTTTCTTTCTTTCTTTCTGTCTGTCTGTCTGTCTGTCTTTCTTTCTGTCTTTCTTTCTTTCTTTCTTTCTTTCTTTGCATTTCTTTCTTTCTTTCTTTCTTTCTTTCTTTCTTTCTTTCTTTCTTTCTTTCTTTCTTTCTTTCTTTCTTTCTTTCTTTCTTTCTTTCTTTCTTTCTTTCTTTCTTTCTCATTCATTCTGTCTGTCCATTACTTTTTCCTATCTTTCTCTCTGTCCTCTTCTCTCCCTGTCTTACTCTCTTCTTTTTTATTCATTTCTTCTTTAATTCATTTCCCCCTTATTCCATTTGTCTTTTCTGTTTTCTGCACAGTGCACAGGCTCTGTAACACCGGTGAGGATCTTGAAATACTTTTGAGTATATTTTAAACTCAAATTGGGCCCGGGTAGCGCCGTTAGGCTACTCTTTTCGATTTCCAACTGCCGAGGGATTGTTTTACGTCCCCAGCAATTCACACAGGCCTCTGACCAGCCCTTACCGGGGATTGAACCCGGAACCTCTAGCACTCGAGACCACGCAGCCCCCCCCCCCCCCTTCATCATCTTCAGATGCCTTGCCAACTGACGTGTGTGATCATCCCTCCACAGTCTGCAACTGCGTGTATCACTTCATGCGCTGACACCCCTCCATGCCACGACAAAAGACTGTAAAGAACCTTTTTGCATTGTCTTTCACTGTCTCTTTTCTGCAAATCGTTTCACTGTCACAAAATTTTCCAGTTTCCGGAATCTCATAATAGGACCAAAAATGAGGTCTCTTTCTGGTGTTTGTGTTATGTTGTCTTTGAGCCCTCGTCTATTTTTGTGTGAATGATACTATATTTCTGATTTGACATTCATGTATATTTCTGATTTCTTGATATATTCACATATGTTTCTAGTTTCTTGACATGTTCACTTATATTTCTGGTTCGTTGACACATTCACATATATTTCTGGTTTGTTGTCACATACACATATATTTCTGGTTTGTTGACACATTCACATTTATTTCTGATTTGTTGACATGTTCACATGTATTTCTGGTTTGTTGACACATTCACATATATATCTGGTTTGTTGACACATTCACATATATTTCTGGTTTGTTGACACTCACATATATTTCTGGTTTGTTGACACATTCACATATATTTCTGGTTTGTTGACACATTCACATATATTTCTGGTTTGTTGACACACTCACATATATTTCTGGTTTGTTGACACATTCACATATATTTCTGGTTTGTTGACACTCACATATATTTCTGGTTTGTTGACACATTCACATATATTTCTGGTTTGTTGACACTCATATATATTTCTGGTTTGTTGACACATTCACATATATCTCTGGTAGCTTTAGCCCGGTGACAGCTTTGACAGACAGAAAAGTACTGACCTTGCTGGTGGGCAGGTCAAGTGAAGGTCAATATCAGTGCACGGCAGAAAACAAACATGGAGCAGCTCATCAGACATTTCATCTGGCTGTTCTGTGTACGTAATTTTCTGTTTGCTGTTTTGTGTACATAATTTTTTGTTTGCTGTTTTGTGTACATAGTTTTCTGTTTGCTGTTTTGTGTACATAATTTTTTGTTTGCTGTTTTGTGTACATAGTTTTCTGTTTGCTGTTTTGTGTACATAATTTTTTGTTTGCTGTTTTGTGTACATAGTTTTCTGTTTGCTGTTTTGTGTACATAGTTTTCTGTTTGCTGTCTTATGTACATAGTTTTCTATTTGCAAGAAGACGCAGTCTACCAGCAAAAACAGCTGCATTAAATTTGGCCCTTCCAAGCACCCGTCTTCACACAGTAAAGCATGTTGTGAATATCAAGAAAAAAACAAAAGCGTGGATAGTAAAATGCATGAAAACACTCGCACGTGCACATGCACACCCACATATACACACTCACACATTCACACGACTGTATACATACATACATCATACATACACACACATATGCCACACACATACATGTATACATATGTACATACAGACACACACACAGGCATCCACATACACAGACACACATACACACATGCAGACACACACATAAAACATCCACATAAATTAAAGTCAAAAAATCTAAAAGAAACAATCCCTAACAACTGGTAATTTAGTGTCCAAACATCAATATGATGATTGACACTGTTTTGTCTTGTTGACACTGTTTTGTCTTGTTGACACTGTTTTGTCTTGTTGACACTGTTCTGTCTCGATGATATCTGCTATCTTTGGTTTGATGTTGTGCACATGTGGACTGGCGCCTGAGACAACAGATCATGTCTTCCAAGACTGTCCCTAATACAACATGTGAAGGCAAAACTTTTAGCCAAGAGAAACATCGGTGCAAATCAAACTTTACGGGTTGCTGAGTGAATTACAAAAGACAGTGAACTTCATACTAGAGACACCATTGCAGATATAGATAATCTATTTCAAGCGAACAAAAGTAGAAGAAGAAGAAAAGGTTTGATGTTGGACAAGGCACAGTGGAGTGACCCTCCACATCATTTTAGCATCACCGTTTTGTTTTTCTGACTGTTAAATTTTAATTTATAATCAAACTGAAAGAAATGTTAGTATAGCAGATTATTACAAGTGTAAACAGTGCACTCATTTTCATAACTGCCTGATACCCCCTTCGAAACTTCCTTTGACCAATTTTCACACTACTGAGTTAGTAGACAGACTTGCAAAAAGTTTAACAAGGAGAAGCAACAAATTCATTGTCATTACTAGAAATCAAAACAGTCAAGAGAAATAACAAGGAATTGTGGAGAGAACAAACCAACAGTAAATATCCACAAGACCCCGTCATCAGACTTAACAGAAAGCAGCATACAACAATTGTGCGTCTACGAACAGGACACTGCAAGCTCAACTACCACATGCATAAAATAAAGACTGTACAGTCCCCACAGTGTGCATGTCAAACAGGACCACAAACACCTCAGCACATTTTGCAGACCTGCCAACTCTACATAAAACTTCGAAAAGACACCTGGCCTCAAGAGCAAAGTGTGCAGAGCAAGCTATGGGGAACCATGAAGGACCTGCTACTGACATGCGAGCTCATAGAGGCAACCCACCTGATGGTCTGATCTGAGCATACGAAACCGAACGCAAAGAAGAAGCAGACACTACTGACACGTGACCACATTGTGTATTAAAGGGCATGTGTTTGCTCTGTGTCTGGTTTCTGAAAACTCAACATGACAGAACACACAGCTTAGAATGCACATACCTCTGGTATCACATTTTGGTGACCCTGAATATGTGTCTGATGTTACTGCTCGTGTGTCATGTCTTCTTCTTCTTCTTCTTCTTCTTGTCATCTGAATGATATCAGGTTGTAGCCCAGTGTCTGGTTTTCTGTTTTTGTCTTGCACTTTTCCGATGGCTTGGGTGATGGATTTTTTTTGTCTTTTTGCAGGTTTCTGATCCACCATTTATCCGTCTCTTTCTTGATTTTCCAGTCGCCTTCCTCCGATATTCTGCTGTAAAAAGTCTGATACACTGTTTGGTCTGGCTGCATTCTCACTAGATGGCTGAACCGTTGAATTCTTTGTCAGTATAATCCAGACATGGTCTTATTCCAACTTTTACTAATGATGGTATTCAAAACTCTGTCTCTTCTTTTTGGTAATAACCTTGCGGAAACAGCACATTTCACATGTAGTTATTTTCTGTTCTAGTGCCTAATTCATTGCCCGTGTTTGGCACTAATAACATAAAGTAGTCAGAAAGTTGCTAATAATCATTTGCTGTTCTGCTGGAAGGGAAACATTTGTGTGTCTAAGCAGTAGGGCTAACTGGTAGGTGACATCATTTGCCTTCTGTACTCTGGACTCCGTAAATATGCTTATGTTTCATGTATCCATTGTAAATGTATGATGTATGAAGTCGAGAGTTCACTGTGTAATGTTCCATGTTTTGCAGATTTGGAGGCGCCTGTTGTTAGCATCAATGAGAAGGAGGTGACCTCCGCCAGGGTCGTCGAAGACACTCAGGTCACCTTGAAGTGTGTGTTTGACAGTAACCCTGGACCTGTTGTTAAGTGAGTACGGTTGTTTCATCTTCTACCTCCTGCCCCAACATCATGACCTTGTTAGGGCTCAGGGTAGTCATACCCACACAGAAACACCAAACATGGAGGTATTGGGTGTCAGTTTTCTTTCCTTCTTAGCATTCACTGGCAGGAAAGTTCTGGTTATTCGTCCACTTCTGGACTTTTATTCAGAGCTTGTTTTACTTGTACATCCATGTTATATATCTGGCTTTTTTGTATGCAGACAGTTGGTTCCTTGCCTCTCAGGCAGATGCACTCTGACTTTGAAGGAAATACCTGATTAGTTGACTCTTACGACATGCTTGGTAGGGCAGGGAAAGGGGGGGGAGCAGTGGGTATATTATTTGTTTTCTCCCTAAAATGGGAGCCACATGGGGATCGTGTCACCCAGAGCCTGAGTGACTGCGCAGTCCTGTCTGGGGAAGAATTGACTCCTTCACAAAAATGTTGTATACAGGTGACTTATTAAGGGTTTGCAGATATCACAGCCTGTCTGTAAACCACTACACAGCATGTTGACCATCCTTTTATGGGGGAATTCAGAAGACCAGGTCAGGTTTTTATAGTAGTGTTCACCTTATGTGAACAAATTTCTGTTTGTTTACCTGATTACATGATGTGATTTGTTTCACAGTTGGCTGTCACCCACCCAGACTATGCTGTCTACCCAGAAGGCACCAGGGCCAACTGTCGTAACGCAGGGTGGACTCCGAAAGAGGCTCTACACCAGCACTCAGCGTCTGGACAGACTCAAGTGTGAGGACACGGGAATATACAAGTGTGACGGAAGCAATAACATTCAAACAGCCGAGGGACGTCTGGAACTTCTGGTGACTTGTGAGTATTTCAGCCTTTTGAAGAAACTTTTTGTTTGTTTTTGTTATTTCACTTAAAAAAAAATTAGTTTATTTTAGTTTATATTATTACTGAAAGTCTTCTTCCTGATGTTCACTGGCTATAAACACTGGTGGAAAATCTTGACTGTTCGTCCACTTCAGGATTTCGATCTTGTTCCATCACTTGAGTTTTACAGATCAGGCTTATGTGTGTGCAGACTGTTGGTTCCTCACCCTTCAAGCAGATGCACTCTGACTTCAAAAGAAACACCACTAAATAGTCACTTTTTATGTCATGCTTGTCGGCGTCTGTGGCTTAGGCATTGCGGACACGCTTCATAATGCCGGGGTGCCGGGTTCGATCCCAGCAATGGGCCTTGAGCTGGTTTCGACAGTGGTATCAAGAAGCCGACTGTCCAGAAAGAAATGGCAAACTACTTGACGTAAAATTGCCTAGAAAAACCACAACAGCCAAACAATCCTAGGGTTAGTTCTGCAATGTCCTGTAAAGGATACGCAACTGACCTTTATAAGGGGACCAGTGTATCTGGTTCTCTCCCCCCCTCCCCAATGGAACCCATGAATCAATACAGGAAACTGAACCGTAAAAATTTCAGATGAATGTTGTGATTTACAGGTCAAAAATTGATTATCCTTTGCAGGGCATTGTAAATCAACCCAGCATTTGTTGGCTGTTTATAGTTTTACCTTCAGAAGTTTGCCATTGCTTTCTGAATGATTAGTTTCATATGCCATTGTCAAAATCATTGCCCCCCCCCCCCCTCCGGTGGGAAAAGGGGGCGGGGACCTTCTGTCCCAAAAAAAAAAAGACTTTCGTAAACACTGACTAATTAGGTGTTCCCTTCGAAACTGCAGTGCATCTGCTTGTGAGGTGAACAACCATCAGTCTGCATACAAATAAGTCAGATCTGTAAAACAGATTGCATGCAGAAATCAAGTTCTGGAACAAGACTAAAATCCAGAAGTGGATTTACAATCCAAACTTTCCACGGGGTTTACAGCCAGTGAATGCGAAGAAGAAGAAGAATGTTGTAAATGGAAAATGAAAAAGTCTAACTGCGTATTGCCATCAATCTTTCAGGTGCTCCATCAGGTACAGATATTCCAGGGCTGGAGCTGAAGCCAGAGTATGTCTGGGAAATCTCACAGCAACTCAGCATCCAGTTTGTCATCAAGGCTTTCCCACAGCCCAACATTACGCAGATAGTGTCCAGCCTCAATGGAGTGTAAGTCTTTTGTGTGTTTGTTCGCACCATCTCTGCAGCAGAAGGAATGCCGTTATTTTTTTTAACCCAGTGTTGGTTCTGAGTTCCCATTGTAGAGGAGAGCAAGAATAGACCCACTACCTTCCCCAACAAGCATGTTGTAATAGTCCACTAACTGGGAGCTTCCTTTGAAGTCAGTGCATCAACAATCTGCATATAAATAAGTCAGATCTGTAAAACAGATGTGCATGCAACACTCAGGTTCTTGATCAAGGCTATCCCTCAAAGTCGGAGCACATCTGTCCGTGAGGCAGGAAACGGCAAAAGCCAGTAAAACAGTTGTACATGCAAAGCTCAGGTCCAGGTAAAAGCCAAAAGTCAAAAGATCTACTGGGACCTTCCACCAGAATTCACAGCCAGTGAACAAAGAAGAAGAAGAAGAAGATCCAGTCTAAAGTTTAGAAGTGGGCGAACAACCGGAATTTTCTGCTGGAGTTTACAGCCGATGAATGCGAAGAAGAAGAAATAGTTTCAAATTGGCCTAAATTCACAGCCCACATCAGCGAATGTCAAAGTATTACCTGATGTAGACCCTCATGGATGTCCTAATTATTATTTTATATCCCAATATGGATTCGGTCGGCTCTGTGGCAAAGTCGATGCGAACGCTTCGTAATGCTGGGGTACCGGGTTCGATCCCAGCTGCGGGCCATGCGCCTTGCGTTGGTTTCTACAGTGGTATTAGGGGGCTGACCTTCCAGAAAGCAATCGCAAACTACTGGACATAAGTTTGTCTAGAGAAAACACACAACAGCCAGGGGCTGTTAGGGTTGGTTCTGCGACGTCCTGTAAAGGATACACAACTAACCTCATATGGATTCGGAAGCCCCATTTTGGGGAAGACAACAGAATAGGCCCACTATTTCCATAACATGCATGTTGCTAAAGGCAGATAAATAGTTTTTTTTTTTTAAATTTGAAGTCAGAGTGCACCTCTCTGAGTGGCAAGAAATGAACATTCTGCAAACAAGTAAGCCAGATCAGTAAAATGGATATGCACACAAAACTCAGGGCTCTGGAACAAGACTAAAGTCCAGAGGTGGACGAACAACCAGAATTTTGTGCCGGAGTTTTATAGCTGGTAAACTCGAGTAAGAAGGAGAAGCAGGGACAAGAAATGTATTCTGCAAATAAACTGCTACATATTATTTAATTTTCCGTAAGTAACTTCACTTTTCATTTATTGGAGGTAACTTCATTTTTTTCCCTTTGCAGGTTGCGAAAGGAAGAGATTCCTAGAGATATAGAAATAGTCCAAACGGCCAACTATGATGGGAAATCCTACCTGACCAAGTTTGGTCTGACAAGCAAGAGAAAACTGGATCAATCTGACACAGATCGAGTGTACACTATGACCATACAGTCGCCTGATTTCACCAGGGATTTCTCATTTCATATACATCCACGGGGTAAGTGGGTTGTGACAGGGGACATGTTGATTGTGACAGAAGACAAGTAGATTATGAGCTAAGGCAAGTAGATTATGACCCAGGGCAACTAGATTGTCACATAAGGCAAGTAGATTGTGGCATTGGACAAGTAGATTATTTCATGGAACATTTTGATTGTGACATAGGACAAGTAGATTGTGACATGGCACAAGTAGATTGTGATATGGAACAGGTAGATTGGAACATGGGACAGGTAGATTGGAACATGGGACAGGTATATTGTGACATGGGACAGGTAGATTGTGACATGAGACAAGTAGATTGTGACAAATGACTGGTAGATTGTGACTTATGACTGGTAGATTGTGACATATAACTGGTAGATTGTGAGATGGGACATGTAGATTGTGACATGTTCTAAAACACCTGGATTATCATTTTAGCACTCCATGAATTTAGAGCATTCTTTTGTAAGACCACAGATGTGAACTCAGTAACCAAAAAAAGACAGTTTTGCAAAAACAACATCAATCACTGCATAATTTGAGATAATTTCATTGCAGGACCTCCGCACAATGTAGTCAACCTGACAGTGATAGACGTGCGGCACGACTCTGTGATTCTCTTCTGGTTGCCAGGTTTCGACGGAGGAGAGAACCAAACATTCTCAGTCGAATATCGACCGTATTCAGAGGGAGAATCTGGCACACAGCAGAATGTAAATGTTTGTTTTATTATGTCTGTAGTAATGTAATTTAGTAATACAGCTTTTGCAGCATATTTATGATGTTATCATATTTATGAAGTTATATTTATGATGTTATCATATTTATGATGTTATCATATTTATGATATAATATTTATGATATTATCATATTTATGATGGCATGATGATGACATTTTGAAAGATCTGAATTTCAAGGAAGATTGGCTAATAAACAGCATTCTGTCTTGGAAGCTGAAATATTTTGGTCATATCAAGCGCCACGACGGATTGGAAAAAATAATAGCACAAATATGGTACCAGGAAGGAGGGGCAGGGGTTGACCGACATGAAGATGGGTACAGGATATAAGTGACTACTTGTGTATGAAAGTGCATGAGGCGGGAAAGCTGGCGAGAGACTGAGTTTCTTTCAGGCAGACCGTGATGAGAGCGACGTTCTGCAAAGCCCTGTATGGGTTCTGGGGCCCCAAAATGAATCGACCCACTGCCCTTGAAACTTCATGTTGTCAAAGTTGACTGATTATAGGATGATTTCCTTCAAAGTTTGAGAGCATCTGACTGAGAGGGCAAGGAACCAACAGTCTGCATATAAATAAACCAGATCTATAAAACAAATGCACATGTAGAACTCAGAATAAAGTCCAGAAGTGGATGAACAACCAGAACTTTCTGCCGCCGGTGAAGACGAAGAAGAAGAAAAGGGGTTCTGGGACACCATTGTGGGGGAAGGGAATGGGGGGGGGGGGGGGGGGGGGGAGATCCATTGCCCTAAACAAGCATGTTAAAAGAGTGACTAATTAAAAGTCGGAGTGCATCTGCCTGAGAGGCAAGGAACCAGTAGTCTGCATACAACTAAGCCAGATCTGTAAAACGGATATGCACATAAAACTCAAGTTTTGGAATGAGACTAAAGTCCAGAATTGTACAAACAGCCAGAACTTTCTGCTTAAGTTTACAGCCGATGAAAGCAGAGAAGAAGAAGAAGAAGAAATATCGATGTTAATGTCTATATTTGTTTCTGGTGAACTACAGGAGAACTACCAGTGGAATGTGGCTGTCGAGAACATCCCAGACAGGCCGTTGGGCGACTGGATTGAGGTCACTGTGGGACCTCTAGAAAGCAGCACAGACTATATTGTCCGAGTGAGGGCCATCAACATTCTAGGGAGTTCCGTGGAGCAGCTGAAAGTGAGAACAGCAGGTGCGTATTTTTGGTATTCCCAAGTAAGTAAAAAAAGGTAAAGGATACTTTTCAACGCCTTTAGGCACATAGGGCATATAGGGCACATAGGGCATATAAGGCTAGACCTATATTTTATAAACCAATCGGCGCAAGATGGATGATGTCGCCAGCATCACGCCGGTCACTGTTACTTCCCGGTACAGCACCCGGTACCCACTCAAGGCTGGGTTGACCTGAGAGCTAAGGTCATTTTTGAAAAGTCCTGCTCCGCCAGGGAGCGAACCAACGACCTTCTGATCCGCAGCAAGCATCTAGCCGCTCCACCACAGCAACTTCCCTATTCACAAGTGAGGGGTGAATTTTGGCAGTAGTTTTTCATTTTTTTTCCTGATATTAATGTTCACCTAGTATTAGTAGTAATATAAACAACAATATCCTGTACAGCCCATCTTTATTGTAATTAGAATATATAGAGTTAGTTTCTATTTCTTCTTTGGGTTCACTGGATGTAAACTCTGGTGGAAAGTTCTGACTGTTTGTCCACTTCTGGACTCTACTTCCTGATCCAAAACCTAATTGGGAGCTTCCTTTAAAGTCGGAGTGTGCCTGAGAGGCAAGGAACCAGATGTCTGCATACAAATGAGTCAGATCTGTAAAATGGATGCACACGCAACACTCTGGTTCTGGAACAGGACTGCAGTCCAGAAGTGGACGAACAACCAGAACTTTATCTGCCAGAGTTTATAGCTGGTGAATGCGAAGAAGAAGAAGAACAATATATTTTAATTGTACTTTCAAACAGCTGTAGTAATTATATTGTGTAGTCTATATTTTAGGGGCTTTTGAGCTGAAATGCTATAGAAGGATTCTCAGAATATCTTGGACAAAGAAGAGGAGAAATATTATCTTAAAAGATCTGAACATCAAGGAAGATTGGCTAATAAACAGCATCCTTTCTCAGAAGCTGAAATATTTTGGTCATATCAAGCGCCAGAACGGATTGGAAAAAAAACTATAGCAGAAGGCATGGTACCAGGAAGGAGGGGCAGGGGCCGATCAACACGAAGATGGGCACAGGATATAAGCGACTCCTTGAGTATGAAAGTGCATGAGGTGGGAGAACTGGCGAAAGACTGAGTTTCTTTCAGGCAGACTGTGATGAGAGCGATGTTCTACAAAGGACCTGCTACATGATGATGAGTCTATATTTGTGGATATTTAAAGTGACTTGAAATGAAAAGTTAAGGGACTTTGCAGATCTGTGTGTGTCTTTCTGTCTACAGTGGCCCCAGCAGAATCTCTGGATGGGGGAGCTATATTTGGGATTGTTTTTGCTGTTCTCATCCTCCTCATCATCATCGCTGCGGTTCTCTATTTTGTGGTCTTCAAGAAAAGATGTAGTAAGTGGCTGTTATGTTTGTTAACATTGTCACTATATATTACATAAGAAGTGATTGTGGAGCAGAAAGACAGACCCCTGAACACACACTACAGTACTGACCTAACCTCTCCCAGCAAAGACTGGGGATCTGGCCCAAGGGAGCCACATTGCGAGAGAAGCTATGGGGAACCGGTGGCGACCTTAAACGCACAATCCTTTTTGTGACCCAGATGGGACTCAATGTTTAGCATAACTGATGTCGAACGCAGAAGAAGAAGAAGTACATAAGAAGTCACAGAGGTGTCGTGACAAGCATGTTGCCTTGCCTGCTCATGTCATGCAGTATTTGTGAGTTCAAATCCTCCCTTTTAATTTAAATGGACTCCCAGGTCAAACCAGCCTAAAATGGTTTAGGGAAGTAAAGGTGGTCAGTGTTGTATTGACTACCTCACCCATGGGCCAGTATTAAATGCTGCACACACATCCTGGTCTTCTGAAAATGAGTCTTTTACTTTTTGTTATATAATTGTTATACAACTGTTTTATAAGATAACAGTTATTTTAATATACAATTATGTAATCAATATAGCACTTGAAGCCAATTTAATATGTGATATATGTTGCTTAAATACTTTACTCCGAATATAAAAAAAAAAAAGTCCACAGAAAAACATATTACCCAAAATATTTGATCCTTTCTATTTTCAGAGAAAGGTAACCAAACAGGCAGTTCCAGGTAAACTATTTTCTCTGTAAACACACAACTGGCATGTGTTAATATTATTTATGGCAAAAATAATTTATTTGGGGGTAAAAATAAACTTGCACAAGGCTTTTTTATTATTTAAAACAAGTGCTGGTACTCACGACGGAATGTTTAATAAAAGGTGCCGGTGTGCACCCGATAGTGTCTGTTACAGAAGTGCTGAAAACAAAATATGCCTTTAAAAAGTACCGGTACTACATACCGTCACCCAAAAAAAAAAAAACAGTCTTGAACTTACAGATCATAGCATAGATACTACTGTAAATTGTTAACCTTCAATGGTCAAATCAACCCAGTATGGGTTCCAGGGTCCTATTTGGATGGAATGAGGAAAAAATTGGTTGGAGGGGAGAAAATTGAGATTGATTACTGATAATATAGAATAGACATTCGGCACACACTTCTTTTTTCGTTCATCCGAGCAATGTAAATGCATTGTGCCTGTTCACAGTAAAGCTACCATATTTGTGCCTTCTGACCGATACATCCGACTTCCTTGAACTTTGATGACGGGGTTACCTTCTCAGATAGTTTTGTGGGACAGGGACATGTTGTGGCCTTATTTGTGTGGTGTTCTCTTTGTCACCTTATCTATAAATGTTGCCCCTGGAGATCCCCTTGAGGACGTCTACATGTAGGCAGGTTGTCTACGTGTAGGCAGGTTGTCTACATGTAGGCAGGTTGTCTACGTGTAGACAGGTTGTCTACATGTAGGCAGGTTGTCTACGTGTAGGCAGGTTGTCTACATGTAGGCAGGTTGTCTACATGTAGGCAGGTTGTCTACATGTAGGCAGGTTGTCTACATGTAGGCAGGTTGTCTACGTGTAGGCAGGTTGTCTACGTGTAGGCAGGTTGTCTACATGTAGGCAGGTTGTCTACATGTAGGCAGGTTGTCTACGTGTAGGTAGGTTGTCTACATGTAGGCAGGTTGTCTACGTGTAGGCAGGTTGTCTACATGTAGGCAGGTTGGCCCTCAAGGGAAGGCAGGGGCAGATCATTAGCATTCCCTGCTATCCAGGGAGGCTTCCATCAATGCTGAGCCAACACATGATACTCTGGTCCTGGACTCAACCAAGGAATCGTCACTTCCTGCACATGACTGCTGAATCTTACATCCATATGTTGAGCTTTCCAATCATCACAGGCTGGGCCCTTTGATGGCCTCACAAATAGCCACATTTTTGTTCCTACTGTTAGACACCTTTAGCATTGTTTCATCTGGAAACTTAGCGAGACAGTATGGCAGAAACATGTCGGCATGGCTTCCCCTTTCAGGTCCCACACTGTGGCTAGTGGGGCCAGTGGTAATGGACAAGTAAACCGCTCTACCTATTGTAGGACTTTTTTTTTGGTCAGACATTCTGAACTTTGTTTCTGAGCCATAGAACATGTATCAAACGCACATTTATGTCTGACAAGCTCACTGACAGTGGCAGATTGTCATGGTGTACCTCAACGCGGTGTCAACATTGTTGGGGGATAGCAAGGGATGTATGGAGACAGGGCTGTCCCATGAGTTACCACCCACAAGAGATATTGCTCCACTAGACTGAGTAAATCTCTTGTTATAGTGCTGAATCTCAGCAGTGCAATAGTTATTCCCACTCGACAGACATTTTAACCGAGGGCTGTCATTTAGTAGTATGTTTGGCTAGCGGTGGTTGCTCATGTTCCAAATGGGATTTGAAAGAAGTTTTCACCCATGCACTGGGGGGTGGGCTGATGTGAGCCAGACTGGACACTGCCTCTGTAGAGGACACTAACTCTGAGATCCCCTGCTAGCTCGGTTCAAGTCACAAAGGTGAGCCCTTATCCCTGGCACATGACACGGATGTGTGGCTGGAGTCCTGCGTGAGGATCCGTTAAACCATCCGTAAGCCAGCTGGCGCCCGAAGTGAGGTATGGAGTAACTCCTTATACACTTAACTTTCTGTGATCAGTATTACCACGCCACCAGCACACCCTTGATAAGATCTGCCAACTGAGACCGCCCATCACTGGAGAGTGGCTGCTGTGTCTGTTTTATGTAAGAATAATGTTTTATTCTTCTTTGTTTCATGCTTCTGAATGATGTCATTGCATTGTGCCTGTTTACAGCATAGCTGTGATATTTGCCCTTTTTGATCAACACATCAAACATCATCAGGTATTAGCTGACTGGATTAGCCCTCCCAAGAAAAATACAATGTTTACACATTTTTAAAAATGAACATGTTTTTTTTTAGGAATTCTAAAATCTCTGAGCGAATCATGTCACAGTTCAGAAAGGACAAGTACAACCCCAAACAGGCACCTAGTAACAGAGGTAAGTACATGGAGGGAGTGATTGGGGAGAAGGAGGAGAGGTAGAAGGTAAGTACATGGAGGGAGTGATTGGGGAGAAGGAGGAGAGGTAGGAGGTAAGTACATGGAGGGAGTGATTGGGGAGAAGGAGGAGAGGTAGGAGGTAAGTACATGGAGGGAGTGATTGGGGGAGAAGGAGGAGAGGTAGGAGGTAAGTACATGGAGGGAGTGATTGGGGAGAAGGAGGAGAGGTAGGAGGTAAGTACATGGAGGGAGTGATTGGGGAGAAGGAGGAGAGGTAGGAGGTAAGTACATGGAGGGAGTGATTGGGGAGAAGGAGGAGAGGTAGGAGGTAAGTACATGGAGGGAGTGATTGGGGAGAAGGAGGAGAGGTAGGAGGTAAGTACATGGAGGGAGTGATTGGGAGAAGGAGGAGAGGTAGGAGGTAAGTACATGGAGGGAGTGATTGGGGGAGAAGGAGGAGAGGTAGGAGGTAAGTACATGGAGGGAGTGATTGGGGAGAAGGAGGAGGAGGAGGAGAAGGAGGAGGAGGAGAGGTAGGAGGTAAGTACATGGAGGGAGTGATTGGGGAGAAGGAGGAGAGGTGGGAGTGATTGGGGAGAAGGAGGAGAGGTAGGAGGTAAGTACAGCCAGGGAGTGATGGGGAAAGGGAAGAGTAAATATACAGAAGGCAATAACGGAGGGTAGGGGATAAATAAGTACAGGGAGAGATTGGGAGTGGTAGAGGAAGGGAGAGAGAGCAGAGTACAGGGAGGGATAGAAGGTGCAAGAGGTAAGTACAGGGAGTGGGAGAAGTAAGTACAGGAGGGGAGTGGGAGAAGTAAGTACAGGAGGGGAGTGATAAAAGGAGGGAGAGAGGTATGTATGGAGATAGAGTGAAAGAGAGGTAGCCATACCAAGGGCAATAAAAGAATCATCATTGAGTGTTATCTGTGAAGTAACCAGCAGGTGTAGTCTCCTGTATTGAACAAATGTGTTATTTATCCTGTCATTAATCTGTTAGTAATGAGTCATTAATCTGTTGCTAATGATTCAAAGGTGATGATCTCCAGTGCCATCTCTCCTGCATCTTCATGACACATTCAAACAGGTTTCTTTTGGTGCATCTCTTGATGCTGTCTGCTGATATAGCCATTTGGGAACATGTGAACAGAGCGGAGGCACAAAAAGATGATAAGGGTCTGAGGAGAATGGCACTGCGAGGAGTTACCAGGGGATCTGACTGACATTCAAGGGAAAGATGAGATGGATACACACTCAGACAGTAATTGGTGCCATCGCAATTGGAACTCTTCGCTTGCTGCTGAAGATGGGGATTGAGTACTTAAAAGAGTATCTTGACTGCTGTGATATTGATTCTAAATTTAACATTTTACTGACATACAACACTGGTCTTTCTCCTGCACACTTGTTCTCTACTAACCTGATCCAGAACATCCTCCAACAAGTCCTTGCCTCCGGATGGGAGCCACGGAGCACAGGGGTTGGATGCTTGACTGGATGTGGGCCTAGTTGTTTGACCATGATCTCATTTAGTCTTCTTTTGTTTTATCCCAGTTTCTTAATTACAGTTTCTTTTCTTCAGCCATGATAATCTTTCTGTCCATCCATGTAACAACAGTTTAAAAGCTTCAGTTTAATCCTTACATCATTTTGTTGTTGTTCATCTGACCGCAAAGTCAGTGAAACACTCTACCACATCCAAGTGTAAATCATAACTCGGTTGTTTACATGAAACCCCTTGTGGGTTCCAGGGCTCTATTATAGGGAACACAAGAAAAGACCCACTGCCCTGCTCAAAAGCATGTCGTAAGAGTCGACTAATTGGGAGCTTCCTTCGAAGTCGGAGTGCATCTGCCTGAAAGGCAAGGAACCAACAGTCTGCACACAAATGTGTCAGATCTGTCAAACGGATGCAACCCAACACTCAGGTTCTTGAACAGGACTACAGTCCAGAAGTGGACAAACAAACAGAACTTTCCACCGGAGTTTACAGCTGGTGAACGCAAAGAAGAAGAAGAAGTTAACATGGAAAAAAATGACATAACGTTAGAAAAAATAATTTATTGTTAATGTTAGAATATTTATAAATCCCTAATATACTAAATAATAGATAAATATACTTGGCTTCATTAGATAGGCATTGACTCGTAGATAATTTTCCTGCGATATTATATAGGATATGATAATTATAGCAAAGATGCTGTTTCCTATCAACAAAGAGGCCTATGTGAATGGCAGTGTACTTTTAGCAATCACATACATAAATTGCTTACATACATTTATTTACGGCCTCACATACGTTATCGATGTAAACATGGTCATCTTGCAAGCAGCCTTTAACCTTGTCTTAAGGGAAGTATTCTCTCCACAGCAACAGCCAATGGTTCTGCATCTAGAGAAAGTCCTTGGGCAAGGGTACGGAAACTTTTGATGAGGTAAATAACTCTGTTGTTGGCTTTACAGCAGTTATCTCATCCTGTCAGATTCTTCTTCTGCTGCTTCTGCTGCTGCTGCAGCTCTTGCTTGTTGTTGTTGTTCTCCTCCTCATTCTCTCTTCTTCTTCTTCTTCTTCTTCTTCTTCTTCTTCTTCTTCTTCTTCTTCTTCTTCTTCTGCTTCTGCTCCTTCTCCTTCTCCTCCTTCTTCTTCTTCTTCTTCTTCTTCTTCTTCTTCTTCTTCTTCTTCTTCTTCTTCTTCTTCTTCTTCTTCTTCTTCTTCTTCTTCTTCTTCTTCTTCTTCTTCTTCTTCTTCTTCTTCTTCTTCTTCTTCTTCTTCTTCTTCTTCTTCTTCTTCTTCTTCTTCTTCTTCTTCTTCTCCTCCTTCTTCTTCTTCTTCTTCTTCTTCTTCTTCTTCTTCTTCTTCTTCTTCTTCTTCTTCTTCTTCTTCTTCTTCTTCTTCTTCTTCTTCTTCTTCTTCTTCTTCTTCTTCTTCTTCTTCTTCTTCTTCTTCTTCTTCTTCTTCTCCTTCTTCTTCTTCTTCTTCTTCTTTCTTCTTCTTTTTCTTCTTCTCCTCCTCCTCCTCCTTCTTCTTCCTTCTCCTCCTCCTCCTCCTCCTCCTCCTTCTTCTCCTCTTTCTACCCCATGCCAGTATCCCCCCCCCCCCCCCTCACCTTTTAATTCACTTGACTTTTGTTACTTCTTACCCTAAGTTTTTCATTAGAGATTATTTTATACACTGACCAACTTTTTCAAATGTGGCAGTTAAAACATTCAGTAGAATAGTTTGTTTCGGCATCATGTGTTTCTGTAGGAAACAAAACATTTCTGAAACCAACTGCCGAGCTGCTTCTTCTAAGCCTTCACTGGCTGTAAACTTCAGTGGAAAGTTCTGGTGGTTCATCCACTACTGGAATTTAGTCGTGTTACAAGAGTTGACTTTTGTGTGCATGTTATGTTGTTCCTCTCCTGATTCATACAGTGTCTCACTCAGTATTCAAAGTCTTATGGCCTCTACTGCATTATTTATGCCTTGATTCACATGTTTGGACACCCACAGTGTCCTAATTCACATGTTTGAACACCCACAGTGCCCTAATTCACATGTTTGAACACCCACAGTGCTCTGATTCACATGTTTGAACACCCACAGTGCCCTAATTCACATGTTTAAACACCCACAGTGCCCTAATTCACATGTTTAGACACCCACAGTGCCCTGATTCACATGTTTGAACACCCACATTGCCATAATTCACATGTTTGGACACCCACAGTGTCCTAATTCACACGTTTGAACACTCACAGTGCCCTAATTCACACGTTTGAACACCCACAGTGCCCTAATTCACATGTTTGAACACCTACAGTACAGAGTATTTTTTATATCTGGTGTCCTCTTTTGTGTTGTTCATCTTCTTTTTCTTTTTTTGGCCCCACTGATACCAGGTTGTAGTCCAGTGTCTGTATTTTCTGTATTTGTCTTGTGCTTCTCGGATGGCCTGGTTGAAGGATTTGTTCATTTTTTTTGCAGGTTTTTGCTACACCGTTTATCCATCTCTTTCTTTGTCTTCCCATTGCCTTCCTCCCAGATGTTCTGCTGTAAAAAGTCTCACATGCAGTTTAGTCTGGCTGCATTCTCACTAGATGGCTGAACCATTTCATTCTTTGCCTGTCAGTACAATCCAGACATGGTCTTATTCCGACTTTCTCTCTAATGCTGGTATTGCTAACCCTGTCTCTTCTTGTGTTGCTAGTGGCCTTGCGGAGACAGTGTATTGTTTATCTCCTGCCTTATTGTCTCTATCTAAACTACTTGGTTGATGTGGCCAGCAGTTTTGCTTCCAACACCTAATTTAGAAATAAATTGCAAATGTTATCATTGGTAACACAGTTGTCATTCAAGTGTGGATTTTTTGTGTGTGTGTGGATATCAGTTGTACATTTGATCTTTTTATAAACATAATCATCATCAATTTGAATTGGCCAGATTGAACTCCTGCCTTAGTTTAAGTGTTGGCTTCTGTTCATGCTGTTATGTTTCTTAGTATGTTTCTGTTGATATTTCTCACACAGGGATTCTGCAGGTGACAGTTATCTCAATGTTCCTGCCAAGGATTATATCAGTAAGTGCTTCTTGAGCTTTGTTTGATTCCATCCTTGATGTGCATTCTTCTTCTTCTTTGTGTTCACCAGCTGTAAACTCCGGCAGAAAGTTTTGGGTGTTCATCCATCTCTGCACTTTAGTCTTGTTCCAGAACCTGAGTGTTGCGTGCATATTTATTTTACAGATCTGCCTATTTGTATGCAGACTGTTGGTTCCTTGTCTCTCAGGCAGATGCACTCTGACTTTGAAGAAAGCTCCCAGTAAGTTGATTCTAACTACATGCTTTTGGGTAGGCAGTGGGTCTATTAATAAATTAGATGTGTTGGGCTGAAAAGCGCAGATATCGCATCCTCGCTGTAAACCACAACTCAGTAGGCCAGCCACCCTTATAAGGTTAAGAAGAAGAAGAGTAAAATAATAAACAAGTAGTGTTTTTGAAAAAGGGTTGACCACCTGGTCGACACTCAACACGCAAAGAATGTTGAATGTTAAAATAAGAATCGACATCACAGCACTCGGGACACTCTCATAAGTGCTTAGTCCTCATCTTTCGCAGCAAGCGAAGAGTTCCAATTCCGATAGTACCAGTAACCGTCAAATTGTATACCTGTCTCATCCTTTCCCTGAGTGTTGAGCGTCGGTTAGATCCCCTGGTATCTCCTCGCAGCGCCATTCTCCTTAGACCAAAATGATCTATCTGCGCCTTCTTACTGTTCACTCGCTCCCAGAGGGCCCTCACAATATCTAACTTGTCATACATCAATTCAACACCAAGTCCGTCTGTGTGTCTGCACATTGCCTAACACATTGGCATAACCTGGAGAAAATATCCAAAGGATGTTAACTACCCGGGACCTCTGAAGTTATGCTTGCTACTCTGCACGAAGCATGTCTGTTTTCACCTTTTTTCAACATGCTTCAACACTCAAAGGAAAGGCAAGATGGACATACAGTCAGACTACTGCTGGCACCATTAAAATTGCAATTTTTCGCTGGTTACTGCTGATGGGGACTGAGCACTTATGGCAGTGTCCTGAGTGCAGTGATGTCACTTCTTAACTCAGCTTAACTCATTCATCTGCCTTTTATCTCCCACTGGAGCATAAGCTCTC